AAAAAAAAAAAAAAAAAAAAAAAAAAGCACATCATAGTAAAACCAATGCCTTCTCAGCTTCGCATCGAAGCTAAAAACACATATTATTTGCATGTGTTGCTAATAGCAAGAACAATATCAACAAAAATTTTCAAATAAATTATAGGTATTATTGAAAATGAATTACATAATTTTTAGCTTCGATGCGAAGCTGAGAAGGTATTGGTTTTACTATGATTTGATTTCTTTTTGTGTCTGTTACCACTTTTTCTCACAGAACAAATTTCTTTCAACGATACGTCAAAAGATCACAAATCGTATCTAGTCGAAGAAATTACCCTCAAAAATTGAACAACTCTCCCTCGCTTACCGTAAATGGGGGAAACCGACAAAAACAATACAAATTTAAAAATTGCTAATTTTCGAAATTTTTTACTTAAAACTGCCATAACTTCTTTAAAAATGACCAAATCAATATATGTATATTTTTATAGACGCATGATATCTTTACGTATCATTTGGCATATTTTTTTATAAATCTGACCGTTTATCTGCCCACAGGAGGGGATTCCAAATGACAACTTTTTCACAAAAAAATTACTTTTTCAACTTAAATTTTGAAAGTGTTCTTGAAAGTCTGACACTTTTATATATATCTTAAATTAAAGCTAATGTAATGTAAATTGTAAACACAATTTTTTTATGAGAAATAATATTTTTTAATAATCTGTTTTTCATTCGACATACTTTATCTTAATCAGGATATTAATATGGAACTAGCAGATCATGTAGCTTTTGGAATAATCCACCAATTTTTTAAAATTATACACTATCTAAAGATTTGCATCGAAGCGTTTATTTTTTTTATAGTGATTTTAATCACTATCAGATACATGATATACATGATCCAACTATGCTACGTCACCACTGTGCCGCGACCCTCCTGTGCTGGGTTTTTAATTCTATTTGTGTGTAGTAGCACACACAAATAAGGTTAAAAAATTAGTCCAGTCCAGTCCATAACATTCCAAAATTTTTTATAACATGTTGCTATAAATCATAAATCTAAAAAAAAAAATGATTTTTAGTTTCACCCGAATTTAATAATGGATTTTTACAATTTTAATCAAATATTATAATACGCTCAATTGAATAAATTTTTTTACTTTAATTACCCAGCATAGGGGAGTCGCAGCACAGTGGTGACGTGTCATAATTGGGTCAATTATAATGATATCTGACAGTGATTAAAATCATTAACATAAAAAACGATTCGATGCAAATCTGTAGAAAGTGTTTAATTTTAAAAAATTGGTGGATTATTCCAAAAGCTACATGATATGCTATTTCCTTATTTATATCCTAATTAAGATAAAATATGTCGAATGAAAAAATAAATTAAAAGAATTTTATTGATCCATACATTTTTCAAAAGTTATAGCATAATAAAGTTGTTTAACTTTAATATGCTTTAACGATTTTATATTTTACATTTTTATGCTTCATTCGGTAGCCATTTTCATCGTGAAGACAAAATAAAGTCCGAAATTAATAATTCCATAATAAGTTCCATAATAAGGTACATTACATTAGCTTTAATTTAAGATATATATAAAAGTGTCAGACTTTCCAGAACACTTTCAAAAGTTAAATTGAAAAAGTTAATTTTTTGTGAAAAAATTGTCATTTTAAATCTCCCCTCTGTAGGCAGGTAAACGGTCAGATTTATAACAAAATATGCCAAATGATAGGTAAAGATATCATGCGTCTATAAAAATATACATATATTGATTTGGTCAATTTTAAAGAAGTTATGGCAGTTTTAAGTAAAAAAAATTGAAAAAATTTCGAAAATAAGGGATTTTTAAATTTATAATTTTTTTGGAGATTTCCCCCATATACGGAGATCGATGGATTTTTTTTCAATTTTTGAGGATAATGACTTCAATTAAATACTATTTATGATAATTTGACGTATCGTTGAAAGAAATCAGTTCGATGAATGCTGAGAAAAAGCGGTAACAGATACAAAAAAACACAAATCATAGTAAAACCAATACCTTCTCAGCTTCGCATCAAAGCTAATAATGGTTACATTTTTTGGGAATTTTTCCAAGATAAGTAAAATATTTCGTTTGAAAAACTATAATCCTCTAATATCAACATTATGTTTCAATTACTGATGGCAGAAAATCATGTACTAATTAATTAATCATATACAATTAATTAATGCCCGCAATTAATCATAATAAAACTATGATTATGATTATTTTGAGAAAAAAAGCCATAAATCTTTTTTTAGGTATTTTTTTTAGCATCGACACAAGCTGATGAAGATGATGATCTGGATAAAACTCGAGAAAATTTCTATCATGCAAAAGATAAGTTGGTAGAATGCTTAGGTGAATGGAGTTTCGCATGTAGTATTATTGATTCCGTAGGTAATAATAATATAATTTTTTTTTTCTATTAGGATTACTATATAGTGTTCAGTATGTATGGAAACAAGTTTCTATTTTTCTTATTATTTGTGACAATTACTGTTTACTTACTTACTAAACACTCTGTTTAATAACTTATTATGCAAGATATTGCACAACATTAGTTCCCAAGGTGCTATTATTTGGTAGAAATATTTTATTCTAATATATTTTTTTTAATTCGATAAAAATTTGGGCTATGATCACTTTGAAATGTCACTTCCCATTGCAATGCTCTAATTAAATACTTTCATTAAAAAACGCACTTTAATTATTGTACAATAATCCAATATTTTTTGCTTTAGTTCAATGATATACTAATTATAATAATTAGTCATTATCAGAGGTGTATTCACATATTTTCTGCCTATAGGCATTTCAAATTTTGCCACCCATCATAACACTACTAATTCCCCCTCAAAAAAAAAAGTATTTAGAAATATTTTTGAAACAAATTTCTGTTTATTAATAAATCATAAAATGAGCAATATTTTTAATGTATTACATTACTAACATGTGTATTAAATGGTTGAGAACAAAAAGAACACAGTTATTATAAAATAGAATTATGTCGACATTTAGTTTTCACAAATGAGTCAATTAAATATTCCCAATTCAGTTCGTTTAACAATTAATTTTTTTTGTTCAAAAATGCAATATTATTTAACTTTATATCAGTATAAGTGGATATAAGATCGTCTTTGATGCGTTTTAGACGGGAAAACGATCTCTCTATATTACAATTAGACATTTGTACACATAAGAAAATTCTTAATGCTCGTATATCAATATTGGGAAAAATATTTTGGATTTAATGAAACTATTTGTTGTTTAATCGTCATTAATAAACAATTTTACTGGGTCGGCCTCCAAAATTAACGTATTAAAAATCATATTAGTTGAATTGACAGACCCGCAACTATCTTCTGATTCATTAAGTTCAACTTCAAGAGGCAAAGTATTTTTTATTTTATTGTCATTAATATGAGAATACGATCAACAATAAAATCTGTAGTTTTATCATTACTAATTTTTATACAAAAAGTAGATGGAACTGATTTCTCAAAAAAATTAGTTTATAAATTAGGATTATTGATTTAACAAATTTTGTAGTTTATCATTTTTTAATTTGGCAATATTTTTGTATTGGTCACTACTTAATCTTTTTCTATTGCATATCATAAACATGATATGTTTTTCAAAATAGATTTTAAGATAATATTAATCAATTTTTTCCGGTTTAAAAAACTCTACAGAGACAGTGACAAGAAAAGTACTGTAAAAGTAATAAATTTGTTTTTGTTAATAACCTCTGCTATTGTTATCGGGAAATTGAAAATAGATTTAACTTTGCTTCTAGCTATCAAAAACATATCATAAATACATAATAAAGTAATACATACATAAAATACATAATACATATAAATACATAAATAAATACAAAATATTATGAAAATGATTAGGAAGGCTTTTTAAAAATTTTTCGGCCTTTAATATTTGCCATCCCTCAAAATTGACCGCTGTGGGCATTTGCCTATAGTGCTTGCATATAAATACGCCGCTGGTCATTATAACTTGCATTCTTTAACTAAAAAGTGTATAAATAAAATTAATCATTCCCCAAAAAAGATAAAATTTATCAAGAAATCCATAAAGAAAAAAAAACTCATTTAACTGATTCTATACCTTCAAATTCATCAATTTTAATTGGACAAATTTTACACGACTTTGCATACGCTTTAGATCAATATTTTTTAAAAGGGGTCAACATTTTCAGAACGTTGTCATGAAAGAAAAATCTTTTTGGCGTAGAACTATAAATATAATTTATATTCAAACTTCAATTTTACATATGTTATTAATTGAATTTTTAAAAAATATGTTAAAAGGAAGTTTATTGTCTACAGTATTACGTATAAAAATTTCAAGTTGATTCATGAATTTTAATTTCATAGAACAGAATGGTCGATTCTAAAGTTTTAAATTATCAGAATCGTCCGTTTTTCAGGATATTTTCTTCTGCAAAATAACTCAGAAGAATTTGTTTAGCAATATATATAATTTGACTTTCAAAAAATTAAAAAGAAAAAACAATAGCACAGTGAGGTCGTAACATAGTTGGGACAAGTATGTTGATATCTGACAATGATTAAAATCACTATCATAAGAAATGCTTTGAAGCAAATCTGTAGATATTGTTTTATTTTAAGAAATTGGTGAATTATTTCAAAATCAAAATTAACTTCTATTTGACAAAAAATAAAGACAAATCATGACTAATAGTTAGTCAATCATCCTGTACTTATAAATTATAAAACTTGAAATCAAAATATAATTTAGGAAATTAGAATTTATTTGCTTTTGGAAAAGTCTAACATTTCCTTCTAAAAGTTAAATACTATCTACAGATTTGCATAGAAGAATTTTTAAGATGTCAGATATCATCTATACATGTTTTCACTATGTCGGATCATTTATCAATTAATTTGACAGGGTTCAAATTAATTATTTACAGGGATTGTAGGCAGCACCTTAATATTATTAAATATTATAATCTTAAATATTTTAGTATGTAAAGTAATTAAATAAAAATTTAATGATCCATACATTTTTAGCTTCGATGCGAAACTAAAAAGAAGGGTATTGGTTTTACTATGTTTTTTTTTGTGTTTGTTATCACTTTTTCTCAGCTCTTCCCGAACTGATTTCTTTCAACAATACGTCAAAAGATCACAAATTGTATCTAGTCGAAGACATTACCATCAAAAATTGAAAAATTTCCCTCGTTCCCCGTAAATGGGGGAGACCTCCAAAAAAATACAAAATTTTAAAATCGCTAATTTTAGAAATTTTTAGTTTCGATGCGAAGCTGAGAAAGTATTGGTTTTACTAAGATGTGTTTTTCTTTTTGTGTCTGTTACCACTTTTTCTCAGCTCTCACTGGATCGATTTCTTTCAACAATATGTCAAAAGATCACAATTCGTATCTAGTTGAAAACATTATCCTTAAAAATTGAAAAAAATTATCTCGTTTCCCGCAAATAGGGGAAATATCCAAAAAAATTACAAATTTAAAAATCGCTAATTTTCAAAATTTTTTCAATTTTTTTTCTTAAAATTGCCATAAATTTTTTAACAATATAATTTTTTTATGTAGATTCATGATATCATTACCTTTCATTTGGTATATTTTTTTTTATATTTGACCCTTTACCTGCCCACAGGGGGGGATTTTAAATTTCAACTTTTCCATAAAAAATTAACTTTTTCAACTTAATTTTTGAAAGTGTTCCGGAAAGTCTGACACTTTTATAGATATATTAAATTAAAGATAATGTAATGTACTTTATTATGCAAAAAACAAATTTCGGACTTTATTTTATCTTCACGGTAAAAATAGCTACCAAATGCTATTTTTGTATGAAAATTCTCGATTTTTTTTTTTTACATGTTTATACTTTATCTTGATCAGGATATTAATAAGGAAATAGCAGATCATGTAGCTTTTGAAATAATCCACCAATTTTTTAAAATTAATACTATCTAAAGATTTGCATCGAAGCTTTTTTAATGATTTTAATCATTGTCAGATATCATTATACATGATCCAACTATGCCACGTCGCCAATGTGCCGCGACCCCCTTTTGTAATTTTTTGCATTGTAGGAATACCTTTTGAAATAACATAATCATTCTAAATTATATCAAATAAAAATTTTATTTAATGTATTATATGATTAAAAATGAATAAACATTCTAGCGACTATTCCTCTATGAGTCATCAGCCTCATAAGTCAAATGAATATATATTTTAATTTGTTTGAAATACGCAACGAAACGTTATAGAATAGTAATTATATTTACTGTTAGATATTAAATAATACTAATCAACAAAAACTCCTCAACGCTACATTAGATTCAACTGTACTTAACATTTGTAAATTTCAATTAATATGCTGTTTATAAATTTATAAATATCAAAAGGTGTTTACTTGTAAATATAAATTTATTATATAAATGAAAAAAATATCATGATTTTAGATCCAATGCCATCGTCAATTGCTTGTAATTTTAACGATCTAAGAGTTTTACTAGTTGTTGGTGAAAGAACTACTGGTCAAATTGATGATTATTTAGCAAAATGTATATGCTCACAAAAAAGCGCACCTTTGGCTGCTCGAGGTTTTAAAACAGTAGAAATATGCCAACAAACGATAGTAAAATGTGGTGAAACTTGGCGTAACGGGTTATATGAAGATGTCAAAAATTTCACTTGGGTTAGTAACATAAAATTAAATATTTCTAGAATTCTGTTGATAAATAACTAAAAACTAAAACTAAAAAATTTCTGCGATTTACAATATTTATATGAATTCAATATGGAATTTTTCTACTGATTCTAAATGCAATTTCAGATTTGTTCCATTACATCTGAATTCTGGAATAATTACTCATTAGTAATTATATTTTACTACTTTTATTTAATAGTTCATTAAAATGTGGTGTATTTTAAAATCACAATTTTAAGAAAGGTAACCGGGAACAAATTAATAACTATAGACCTATATCAAAAATTTCATTAATTGCGAAAATCTTTTCGAAAATAATTACTCAAAACATTACGCCAATGTTCAAAAATGTTTTTGTAAACGAACAACATGGATTTCGTAATGGAAGATGAACTGTTACAAATCTTACGGTTTTTAAGCAAACTATTATAGACTCTTTTGAATCTAAATCTCAACTAGATGCTGTCTATACTGACTTTGAAAAACCATTTAATAAAATAAACCACACATTACTGGTTCGTAAACTAGAAATGATTGGTATTCTAAATCCTCTATTATCTTGGTTTAATTCATTTCTTACTAATAGAATACATATTATAAAATATAAAAATTTCCAGTCTAATATTATTAGAGTGACATCAGGTGTTCTTCAAGGCGATCATGTATCACCTCTCTTGTTTCTTATATATATAAACAGATATTGTAATTGTATTGAAATACTCAAAAATACTACTCTTAGCAGATGATGCGAAACTATTTATGCCCATTAACTTTATTTCCGATGCTATTTGCTTTCAAACTGAAAATTCATAATTTCGCTAAGTGGTGTAACGATAACGGTATGACTCTCAATATAAATAAATGCTCAATCTTATCCTTTCCACTAAAAAAAACCCCATACTGCATAAATACTTTTTAAACAATCATCTTCTTTAAAGAGTAGATTATGTAAAAGTTCTGGGTGTTACATTTGATACGAACTAACTATTAATGCACACATACATGAGATAAAAATAAAGGCTACATCTAATTTACACTTCATAATAAGAATTTGCCATGAATTCTTTTGCGCAGATGCCCTTAAGGCAGTTTATTTCTCATTAGTAAGATCTCACCTTGAATACGCTTCACTTGTTTGGTTTAATAATTCTTTTATTCAAATTCTTGACTTAGATTCAATACAAAATAATTTTCTAAGATATTTATCATTTAAATGTAAGATTGAAAAGTTACCCTTATATGTTTACGATGGAGTTTTAGGGTTTTTTTAATATTAATACTTTAGGTTTTAGAAGGAACAATCAAAATTTAGTGTTTTTATATAAACTTCTTAACGGTGACATTGATTGCTCATTCCTTCTTGAGCATTTACAATTTAAAATACCTAAAATTAGCACCCGAATTAAAGATTTATTCTACGTAAAAAATATTTTTAAAAAAAACCCAGCAAAATGGGGTGGCGACACAGTAGGGTCGTGGCATAGTTGGGTCCAGTATAGATGATATCTGACAGTGATTAAAATCACTATCATAAGAAACGCTTCGATGCAAATCTGTAGATAGTGTTTAATTAAAAAAAAAAAATTTGTTAAAATAGCATATTTTTGAATACGGTATTTGCGCATTGAAGATAGGTCGTCGGGACAAATTTTTTTTTTCATTTTATAGTACATAAAAACAGCTTTAATTTGATATATGTTTAAAGGACGCAGTATTTCCGGAACATTTTCAAAAATTAAGTTGAAAAAGTTATTTTTTGTAAAAAAGTTACTATTTTAAATCCACCCAGTGAGCAGAATAAGTGTTAGATTTTCAAAAAAAAAATATATCAAATGAAAAGAAATTACCTAAGATTTCAATATAAAAAAATATTATTTTGATTTGTTCATTTTTGAAAAAGTTATGGCAGTTTTAAGTACAAAAAACATCCCGATAAAATGTAATTTTTATCGCAAACATTACATTTTTTTTTAAATTTTCGACAGCCATTTGCACATAGAAGATAAGATGTCGGGACAAATTTTTTTTTTTCATTTGATAGTATATAACATAACCTTTGATTTGATATATGTTTAAAGGACGCAGTATTTCCGGAACATTTTCAAAAGTTCAGTTGAAAAAGATCTATGTTTTTTACAATATTTTAAGTTTTGAACGCCCCCTATATAAGGGGAAATTGTCCAATTTTAATAAAAAGTATGTCAAATGAAAGATGTACTTATAATGTATTTAGAAAAAAAAAATTTGTGCTGATATATACATTTTTCAAAAAGTTATAGCATTTTTAAGTTGAAAATTTAAAATCGAAAATCGAAAATTTTAACACAAAAATAGTGTTTTTTTAACTACGGCAGCCGTTTAAATGTAGAAAAAAAAGTGTCGGGACAAATTTTTTTTTTTCATTTTGTAGTACATAAAATAAGCTTTAATTTGATATATGTTTAAAGGACGCAGTCTTTCCGGAACATTTTCAAAAATTAAGTTGAAAAAATTAATTTTTGTAAAAAAGTTGCCATTTTAAATCCCCCCCAATGAGCAGGTTAAGTGATAGATTTTCAAAAAAATGATATCAAATGAAAGGTAAATATCTAAGGTTTTAGTATAAAAAAAAATTATGTTGATTTGTTGATTTTTCAAAAAGTTATGGAAGTTTTAAGAAAAAAAAGTGAAAAAATTTCGAAAATTAGCGATTTTTAAATTTGTAATTTTTTTGGATATTTCCCCCATTTGCGGGGAACGAGGGAATTTTTTTCAATTTTTAAGGGTAATGTCTCCAACTAGATACGATTTGTGATCTTTTGACGTATTTTTGAAAGAAATCGGTCTAGTGAGAGCTGAGAAAAAGTGGCAAAAGACAGAAAAAAAAACCACATCATAGTAAAATTAATACCTTCTCAGCTTCGCATCAAAGCTAAAATGGCAAAATTTACCGATTTTTAAAATTGTAATTTTGTTGGGGATTTCCCCTATTCATAATAATAATAATATCTTTATTACCGAAATAACTCCATTTACAATTTATATATAAATATGATAACAGTTGAGAACACGTAACAATCAAATCACAAATTAATAGAAGTAAATATAGATTATAAATTATTAATTTTTATTATTAAATGTATAAAGATCTAAATTTATCAATATTGCTAAAAACGAAAAAATCAACATCAGCCCTATTACCCGCCAACATTAAAACAATAATGGGAGAAGATTCTAATATTAGCTTCGATGCGAAGCTGAGAAGGTATTAATTTTACTATGATGTGGTTTTTTTTTTTCTGTCTTTTGCCACTTTTTCTCAGCTCTCACTAGACCGATTTCTTTCAAAAATACGTCAAAAGATCACAAATCGTATCTAATTGGTGACATTATCCTTAAAAATTGAAAAAAATTCCCTCGTTCCCCGAAAATGGAGGAAATATCCAAAAAAATTACAAATTTAAAAATCGGTAATTTTTCACTTTTTTTTCTTAAAACTTCCATAACTTTTTCACAAATGAACTAATCAACATAATTTTTTTTTATAATTAAATCTTAAATATTTTCCTTTCATTTGATATAATTTTTTTTAAAATCTAACACTTATTTTACTCACTGGGGGGATTTAAAATTAACAACTTTTTTACAAAAATTTACTTTTTCAACTTAATTTTTGAAAATGTTCTGGAAATACTGCGTCCTTTAAACATATATCAAATAAAAGGTTATTTTATGAACTATAAAATGAAAAAAAAAAATTTGTCCCGACACTTTATCTTCTACATTTAAACGGCTACCGTAGTTAAAAAAAACACTATTTTTTGTTAAAATTTTCGATTATCGATTTTAAATTTTCAACTTAAAAATGCTATAACTTTTTGAAAAATGTATATATCAGCACAAATTTTTTTTTATAAATACATTTTAAGTACATCTTTCATTTGACATACTTTTTATTAAAATTAGACAATTTCACCTTATATATGGGGCGTTCAAAATTTGAAATATTGTAATAAACATAGATCTTTTTCAACTGAACTTTTGAAAATGTTCTGGAAATACTGCGTCCTTTAAACATATATCAAATAAAAGGTTATTTTATGTACTATAAAATGAAAAAAAAAAATTTGTCCCGGCCACCTATCTTCTATGCACAAAAGGCTACCGTATTCAAAAATATGCTATTTTTGTAATAAAATTCTGGGTTTTGTATTTTATTTTATTTTAAAATATCTTATTAGGGGAATTCACTAACTTTCATGAATATTGTTTTATTAAAAATTTTACTTTAAAGGACAAAAAAAGTACGTTCAAAATGATAACATTTTTAACATATTAAAAATCAAAATCAATAATTATTTTAAAACAATTAATTTTAAAAATTATATAATATATAATTAAAAGAAAAACTAATCTGGGTATAATTAAGGAAATAGAAGTTGATGTTGCTTGTGTCCATCAATTTTTTAGAATTAAACACTATTTAAAGTTTTGCATCGAAGCGTTTCTTATAATAGTGATTTTAATCAATGTCAGATTAAATCTATACTGGACCTAACTATGCAACTTCCCCACTGTGCTAGGTTTTTATATCTAAATCTCATTATTTAAACATTAGTAATAATATTAAAACTCAGAAGTGATAGAAAAAGTCTCAATGCAGATTTGAAAGCACCACGAGACATTGATTAAGAAAAATATATATGTTCTTCTGATGAAAGTTTCTTGTAGTTCAGTGTATTAATTCATAAGAAAAAAACAATTTTTTATTAAAATTATTACATCAAACTCTTTAAATTTTTATACGCGTTAAAAGTAAAGAAATATACTAATACTTTATTATTTTAATAATATCTCCGTAAATATGACAGTAATCAATTATTGAATATCAATTTCACATTACATTTATTTACAGTAATTAGTATTTATTCATATATTATACTTTTAAATCAAAAAATCACTTATTAGGATAAAATTAATGAAATTGGTTTATTTTTTTTTTAATATTTATAAATCAAATAACTAATTGGGATAAAATTAAGGGAATAAGAGTTATTGTTGCTTTTGAAATAATCTACCAATTTTTTAAAATTAATCACTATCTACAAATTTGTATCGAAGCGTTTCTTATGATAAAAATTTACTATACTTGTACCAACTATGTAATTTACATATTATGCCGCGACCCCGTGTGTTACAGTTTTTTTGTATAAACTAATATGTAATTTTCATTTTATTTTTTATTTTTTACGTGGGCAGAAATGAAATTAGGAGGCTAATCTTACTCATAAATTGCCCTGATGGTCTTTTGTTTTCAAGATATTTAGTTTTTATAAAAGCGTAAACGTATAGTATAGTTCGTACAAATTTAATGTAATAATTAATTTAATATATTTAAAAACTTCATTAATATAAGAGTATTATATTAAAATTGTAAAATTTTTGTTATGTTCATAACATAATGGAGAAAAATATTATTATTATTCATAACAACTAGAAACATAGATAAACAATTTTAAAAACACTAAAATTTAAAGAAACTATAAATTAATTTGTTCCTAATATATATGAAATCGATTACTTTTATTTTTATTTTATTTTCAATTAGCCTAAAATAAAAATGCCAAATGCACCAAAATTTCTAAAACCTTCTAAATCGAATAAAAAAAATTCAAAAAAAACTAAAAATAATGAAACAGAAGATGAAGATGAATAACAGAAGTAAATTTTCAATTCATAAAATATATTATAGTCTATAACTTTATGTTACTATTTCATTGAATAAATAAATAATCAAATAATTATTTTAATGTAGAATTATTTTATTTTGTAATATTATATAGGCTATTTTCCATCTATACTTTATTGCAAAACAATTATTAGAGAATTAAAAAATTATTTTCATTTTATTTTAGTATAGTAGTTTACTATACTAAAATAAAATTCAGCCATTATGAGATTATAGTGAAGACTTTGCATCGATGGAAATATGACGGTGATTAATTTTAATATTAATATTTGAGAAGAAATTCTAGATCAATATTATAAAATTTATAGTATGGACAAACCTTAAAAAAACTTTTTTTAATACGAATTTATCACACGAAAAATATTTGCATGAAGATAGTACTTTTATTTTTCATTTTAACAGTTCTTTACACTCATAAGACAAGTTAAAACGAATTTTCTTTTTAAATTTTTACATACGTTTTTATTTAATTTCTGAATAGATTACTACGTAGAATTTTTGGAATATGTTTAAAGCTAAATGTTATTTGCATGTGTTGCTAATAGCAAGAAAAATATCAACAAAAATTTTCAAATAAATTATAGGTATTATTGAAAATTAATCATATAATTTTTAGCTTCGATGCGAAGCTGAGAAGGTGTTGGTTTTACTATGATGTTTTTTTTTTTATGTCTGTCGCCACTTTTTCTCAGCTCTCACTGGACCGATTTCTTTTAAAAATACGTCAAAATATCACAAATCGTATTTAGTTGGAGACATTACCCTTAAAAATTGAAAAAAAATCCATTTTATCGGGATATTTTTTGTACTTAAAACTGCCATAACTTTTTCAAAAATGAACAAATCAAAATAATATTTTTTTGTATTGAAACCTTAGATATTTCCCTTTCATTTGATATAATTTATCTAACACTTATTCTGCTCACTGAGGGGATTTAAAATAGTAACTTTTTTACAAAAAATAACTTTTTCAACTTAACTTTTGAAAATGTTCCGGAAATACTGCGTCCTTTAATCATATATCAAATTAAAGCTTATTTTATGTATTATAAAAAAAAAAAAAAATTTGTCCCGACGACCTATCTTCTATGCGCAAATGGCTACCATATTCAAAAATATGCTATTTTAACAAATTTTTTTTTTTTTAATTAAACACTATCTACAGATTTGCATCGAAGCGTTTTTTATGATAGTGATTTTAGTCACTGTCAGATATCATGTATACTGGACCCAACTATGCCACGACGCCACTGTGCTAAAGGTTTTTTTTAATAAAATGCTTGATGTCTTTAGCTATAATTTGGTATATATTATATTTTACATTTTTAACTATATAATGTTATAACTTATTAAAACTGTATGGATCAACACAATATTTTTAATAGAAATAATATTTATATCCCTTTTCATTCGGTGTACTTTATCTTAATCAGGACATTAATAATGAAGTAGCATATCATGTGGCTTTTGGAATAATCCACCAATATTTTTAAATTAAACGCTATCGAAGCGTTTTTTTTTATATTGATTTTAATCACTATCAGATACATGATATACATGATCCAACTATGCTACGTCATGACTGTGCCGCGACCCTCCTGTGCTGGGTTGTTTACAAAAATATTTGATGAATTGTTAAAAATTGTATGGCAAATATTTATTAAATTATGACCATTTTAGTACAATAGGTATGTAGCGTGGACGACTTATACATTATAAATTCATATTGTTAATGACATTACTCATCTGTCTTGTTTTTGTTAACATTGGATGTTATTTATCTTTTGATTTTTTCAAAACATGTTTTGAATTTAATATGCTAATGGATCAAAAAAATAATAATATTTTTAAATCTGTTCAAATACCAGGATTATTATGACTTTATAATGATTGAGGTGATTATGTATGTTATTTTGTTCAACAGATATTAAAATTCAATGCATAATAAAATTATTTAAATTAATTACTAAATTTATTCTAAAAATAAATCTTACAATTGTAAAAAAAATAAATCGATGTTGTGTAAAAAACAACGCCTGGAAACAAATATCATGCAATATAATATAATCAATAAATTTAGTATATTATATTCACTATACTTGTAGATTTTTAAATTTAAGACATTAGCGAAATTAATGAACTTCAATATTGTTTCTTATAAACAAAAATAATCTGTTATGATTTCGACTTACATCCAACAGTTTTTATTTATAGTAAGTATAACAACTAATTATAGCATGTATAACATATTATTATATTTTTTCTAAATATATTTATCGATGTTTCAATAACTTTAGTATTATAATAAGTACTTGAATACTACTTTTATCCATTACATTGATTAATTTAAATAATTTTTTTTAATTTATTTTTTAAAAAAATAATAAAAGTTTGGTTAAATATTCAACGTTATTTTTAAAATAAATATAAGCACGAGATATTTCATAAAATAATTTCTTTTAAAACTAATTTTGAAAGTAATTTGTATTGAAGACTTGATGCTTTAAGCTCCAACTTACAAAAATGCATGTGATTTATTTATTATTTTAAATAGTTTCTTTTTCAATTTTTCACGGCTCATTAGTAGCCAACCATTCCTAAGAGAAGGTTTCTAAACCATAGATACTCTGGAACTGGTGGTTAGTGCATCGCTTGAAAGAATAATGACGACTTCAATTTTGAACTAATCTAGCTCAGTATACGGAGTATTTGTGTCTGAAAATAGTACTTTTATAAAAAAAGTTGAGCAATAAAAGGGAGATATAAAAATAGTTATTATTAAATAATAAGAATAAAAAAATACTTCAGTCTCCTTTGTCAATATAAAAAAAAATTTAAGGCAACTACTGTATCGATAAGTTTAGAAACGGTTTCCTTATATTAGCTTTGATGCTATTCACATTTTATTTTGCTCATCACAATTTATTTATAATAATTGATCTGATAAATTAGTTAACTAAAGAATTATCTTAAATATAAAAGAAAATATTTAAATATGTTTAAATAAATAACAATAAACTACTATTGCAACAGTCAAATAATTATTATTCAACAAAAATCTTAGGCATTTTTTATATATTTTGGCTACCTAGGTGAATTTTTCGATATCTTCTATTTATTTTTACTTGCAATAAAGAAATACTAAAGAAATAATAATAATATTACTATATGCGATTTTCAATTCAATATCGTACTCGTTCAAGGAATGATAATTTTCATAGAAAAAATTGTGCCTGTAATTAAAATTTTCACAGATATTAAAATTTTTTAAATATTTAAATATTAATAAGAAATTTGTTTTACTCAATTTTTGCTAAAACCTGTTCATATTAATTTTCATTTTTTCAAATAAATTAGAAAAATCATATATTTTCTACTCTTATTGTAGTCTAAAAATGCTCAAATTTATAATGTAAAAATAAAATGTACTCATGAATTAATTAATTTTTAAATCAATGAATTCATTTGAAATTCGCATCAATTGCAAACCCTGTTTTATTGACAAAAATCTATTAAGTTAAAGATATATAAATAAATAAAAATGATGTTTTTTTATCTTCATCTTAAATTGATCAGATAAACCAATGTAGGTGAAAGACTGAGTAAGCTTCTAAAATATTACCCATATTGTGCCTGTATAGTGGCATTGTGGAAGAATTCAAGCATTTATTGTCCTCAGACAATAATTTAAACACTGACTGATAACACATTAGTAACACGAATTACATTACTGAAAACAAACTTCAATATTTTCATATCACTTTAATACTATAACATTACTAAACACTTTTTTCTAATAATATGAAAGTTATAAATTAATGCAAATTTACAAATCGTATCTTAAAAATTGATAAAATGAGTTTTTTTATCAATAATAATATAATTATAACAGTTTAAAATTTTGAAATTCTTTAATTAATTTTTAGCTTCGATGCGAAGCTGAGAAGGTATTAATTTTACTATGATGTGTTTTTTTTGTGTCTATGAACGCTCAATCTCAGCTCTCGCTGGACCGATTTTGATGAACAATATGTCAAAAGAACACAAATCGTATCTAGTCGAAAACATTACCCTCAAAATTATTATTTTAATTTATAATCTCAAAAGATACTGCCATAACTTTTTTAAAAATGAACATATCAATATAATTTTTTTTTTATAGATGCTTGATGTTTTTACGTATCATTTGGTATATTTTTTTTGTAAATCTGACACTTAACCTGCCCACAGGGGGGGATTAAAAAGGACAACTTTTTCACAAAAAATTAACTTTTTTAACTTAAATTTTGAAAATGTTCCGGAAGGTCTGACACTTTTATATATATCTTAAATTAAAGCTAATGTAATATACTTTAATTTGAAAAAAAAAAAATTTTGACCTCTGAATTTGTCTTCATGGTAAAAATGACTACCGTATTCAAAAATATGCTATTTTTGTGTTAAAACTCTGGTTTCGAATTTTATTTTATTTTAAAATACCTGACAAGGGGAGTCCAGATTTTCATAAATATTATATAAATAAAAAATTAATATAGCATAGAAATTTAAACTTATCTAAATTTATTTGCTTCTTTTAAGTCGAGAAAATTAACTTTGAAATTTGAATTAGCTTAAATAACTAATTTTTTCAATCGACAATAGCGACGTACGGTTGCCGAGTTGGTAAAACTTGTTTTACACGGTTGGGGTATGAGGTTCTAACTCGCCTATGACAATGAAATTTTACATTTTTTCTTAATTCTTTTTAAGTTAGTATAAATTTTTAACTCGTTTGATTTTTATCTCATTTAGATTCGATAACTTCAATAAAGATCAAGGATCCCATCACTTTAGTCGCCCCTTTCAAGAAGAAATTACTTANCATCACTTTAGTCGCCCCTTGCAAGAAGAAATTTCTTATTCGTATTAAAATTATTTTACTATATTTTAAGTTTTAGCTTCGATGCAAAGCCGAGAAGATGTTTTTTTGTGAATATCATTTATTTTCTCTGCTCTAACTTGAACTTTTTTCAACGATACGTCCAATGACTACAATTCGTATCTAGTTGAAGATATTACTCTCAAAAATTGAAAAAAAATTCTAATTTATCAATTAAACAGTTAGTTATTACATTTTCTCCATAAAGACAATTAAAATCATTAACCTCTAATGTTTTCAAAATATTTATTAACGAATGAAGTTTGATATGATATGTTTCAACTACCAAATTAAATCATTATACTTTGTAATTTTTATAATTTTTTTACTCTATTNCATACTTTGTAATTTTTATCATTTTTTTACTCTATTTGTGTGTGCTACTACTAGACTATAATATTACAAATTTTTTTGTAACATGTTGCTATATAAATCATTTCTAAAAAAAATGATTAATTTTTCTCCTGAATTAACAATTGATTTTTACAAATATAATCAAATTTTATAATACGCTCAATTGAGTAAATCTTTTTAATAACTTTGTTTTGATTGGTTCATTTAGTTAAAGTAAATCATTAAAATGAATTAAGTTCTGAATATTTCAATTGCAGAATCTTTTCAAACATCAAAAGATACTAGGAAATTATTACTATTACTTCTATTTAAGTTATCTATTACCATATAAATACAAAAAAATATTGAGCTTTTCTGATAAATTTACTATAAATAGCAATAATAAAACTTTCTGACTGCATATTGATCTTAACGATACAATTTTTTTAATTGTCATAAAATTTTCTATTTAATTATGTCAATGTCAAACTTACCAATTGAGCTAAAAGTTATGGTAAAATAAATTTTTTTTTTTTTTTATAAACATTTACAACAATCAACTTTAAACGATTAACAAAATAGGTTAAATATGTCATTTTCCTTATTTTTAACTTATTAATAATCAAATTAATATTAAATATTATATCAAATCAGTATTAATTTAAAACAATTTTTTTTGTTCTTAATTATTTTTTTTTATATGTAAAAACTATTTTTTAATAATATTAAAACTTAGAAGTTATAGAAAAAGTCTAATTGCACATTTTAAAACATCGCGAAAAGTTGATTTAGAATAGTATATTTTTGTTTCTGATGGAAGTTCCTTGTAGTCCAGTGTATAAAACTTATAACTTTGTTAATTGTTATAACTTTATCAAAAATGACCAAATCAGTATATTTTTTTTTATTTAGATGCATGTCTTTATCTATCATTTGGTTTTTTTTATAAATCTAACCCTTTACCTGCCCACAAGAGGGATTCAAAATATTAACTTTTTTTTTTTTAGTTAAAGTAAATCATTAAAATTAATTCAGTTCTGGATATTTCAATAGTAGAATCTTTTTAAATATCAAAAATTACTTAGAAATGATTACTATGATTTCTATTTAAGTGTTCTATTACGATAAAAATGCAAAAAATAATGAGTTTTTCTGATAAATTTACAATAAATAATAATTATAAAACTTTCTGACTGCATATTAATCTTAAAAATAACATTGTTTTAATTCTCATAAAATTTTCTATTTAATGATTCATTCTAGTCAACGAAGGAGTAATTTTGCAGAATAGCAGAAAAAATTCCCAACAAACTTTTTTTTTTTTTGTTTTAATTAGGCAATTGGTGGATTATTCCAAAAGCAACATCAACTCTTATTTCTTTAATTATATCATGATTAGTAGTTCTTTGATTTTAAAATATAATATTTGAATATATACTAATTATAATTATTAAATTTAGTATGAAATTGATATTTAATATTGTAATTTAAACGGAGAAATTATAAAAATAATAAAGAAGTTATATTTTGCTTTACTTTTACGTGTATAAAAATTTAAAGGGCCTGATACAATAATTTTCAATAAAAACTGTTACTTTAAAAAAATGCACTAGACTACAAGGAACTTTCATCAAAAGCAAAAATATACTTTTCTAAATCAANNNGGACTACAAGGAACTTTCATCAGAAGCAAAAATATACTTTTCTAAATCAAATTTTCGCGTTGTTTTCAAATCTGCAAGTAGACTATTTCTATCACTTCTAATTTTTTATATTATTACTAATTATATATATAAAATAATAATTAAAAGAAAAAAAAATTTGTTTTCAAATTATTACTGATTTGATTTTTAATATGTTAAAAATAATCAGTCCAAATTTTCAATTTTAACCTATTTTTTTGGTTCTTTAAAGTTGATGAAAAATTTTTGATAAAGATTTATGAAAGTTTATAGTAAAATAAATTGAATATATTACCATAACTTTTAACTCAATTACAAGTTTAAAATTGACATCTAGGCCAGTCAACAAAGGAAAAATTGTGGAAAAAATTCCCAACCAAATTTTGTTTTTTTAAAAGTTAAATTAAAATATGTGTAATGACATACTAATAGTCCTCATTGATTGGAATTGAGTTTATTTTTTACAGCCTCGCAAAAGTTCAAAAATATGAGCTTTTTTAATTTTCTCAAAAAATATATAGCTTACAAAAAAAAGTTTCGTACAAAAGTTGTTTAAAAGACAATTATAAACAAAAAAATAATCTTATATTTTTTCATTTAAACAATTATTTTTCGAGTTACATTACATTTAATTTGAGTACTATAATTTATATTCCATTTTANTCTTATATTTTTTCATTTAAACAAATATTTTTCGAGTTACATTACATTTAATATGAGTAATAAAATTTATATTCCATTTTTTTCATTTTACGGTTACTTTTTATCATGTTATACTTACATTAGACACAATGTTATAAATGCATATGTGTGTATGTGTGAGTTTATTTATTTAGTGTATCATAGAAGTGTAGTGTATATTAATATACAAGCGATAGAGTAGGTAATTGATTTGACGCTATATTGTTTAAACCCAACTAAACGCAAAATTCTACATCCCAAACAACAATCATACTATGTAAATTGCCACTGGAATTTTCTTTTTCTTTGCTTTAATCCCAACTACTTGGGATCGGCCACCCTTATCCTAAGCTTTCACTTGACACGATCTCCCACATCTTCTACGCTCACACATCAGCTGTCCTCATGTTGCATTCAATAACATCCCTCAATCTCCTTTTTGGTCTTCCTCTACCTCTTCTTGCTTCAAAATTCATTTCTATAAATGTTCTTACACCTTTNATTTCTATAACTGTTCTTACAGCTTTCGATTCTTCTTTCCTCATACCATGACTAAACAATCTAAGTCTATTTTCTGTCATCTTATCCACGATTGACGCAACACCTATACTTCCTCTTATATGCTCGTTCCTTATCCTATCTTCTCTAGTCACTCCACTCATCCAACTAAGCATTCTCATCTCTGCTACACTTATTCTCTGCTCTACTTTTTTATCAACCGCTCAACACTATGAACCATACATCATAACTGGCTTCACAATTTCATACTAAATTTAAAAACTATAATTAGTATTTATTCATATATTATATTTTAAAATCAAAGAACTACTAATCAGGATATAATTAAAGAAATAAGAGTTGATGTTGCTGTTGCTTTTGGAATAATCCACCAATTTCTCTAAATGAAACACTATCTACAGATTTGCATCGAAGCGTTTCTTATGATAGTGATTTTAATCACTCTTATTAATTAGTCTGGTTAGTTTCTAATATCCTAACTAAGAGGCAACGAAACGGCAGAGCCAGTTCACGAGTACCATATAACGTGATTATGTACAATTTTTTAACCAACCAGTCAAAATTGACACTTTAAGATAATAATTTATTAAAAGATCTATTGCTTTGTCATTCTTTACTCAAATTTATTAACTTTAAATAATTGGGATAACATAAATTTACTTACTTCTTTTATTCTTGCAAATTGCTGTAAAATGATTTGATAAATATCTCGATATGTTTATATATGCTTAGAAGTATTTAATTCGCACTTCGTCAAAAGATAAATGATTAAAACAAGTTCTTTTCATATATAAATAAAACGCGTAAAAATCAGCCGACAACAACACAGGGCTGTGACTGATAATTGTTTCTCATCATTATTATATTGAGATAGCATGTTTAACAATTGATAAATTGATATATATATATAAATAATAAGAAATTGTGTTGAACATCGTATTTGTTATGACAGATAAATGATTTATTTGTTTACAAGTTATTTAAAATACAGATTATACATTTTTCATTGATAATTTTAAGATGCGTAATGCAAAGCATTGAGCATATTACGACATTATCAAGTATTAAGTATAAATACATAGATTTCAGGTGTATTTTTACAAAATAACGCATTTCTCATAACGCAAGGCATAAATCCATTTTATTTTAAAAAATGTTTTTATTTATGTACTAGGAAACTCATATTTGGTATTTAAAAAAAAATTTAAATGCTGGGCGACCACCCTAGATGATTTATTATGGATTGTCCCTTTATAAATTATGTTTTTAATAAGATTGGGATGAGTTTAGTTTCTCTTTGATTTTTTTTAAATTTTCGTTATGCTGTGTAGTACACGAGTTAAATACTTAAATTCCAAAATTTAGCAGGTAGTACTCGCACATTACAAACTCTACCTGTAGATATAACTATACTGGAAAAGTAATTATCTTAATCACTCCTTGAAAAAATGTAGACATACCATTCATAGGTAGCGCTTCTACAAATTTACCGAGAATAATGTAACCAATTTTTTATCAATGCAAAATGTTGCGAACTCGAAATGTATTATTATTTTCACCAAGGCCACTGGTTGTGTGAGTTTAGTTGATTACCAGAGGTAACTGTTGTAATTTCCAAAATATAGTGTTTTTATTCAATTTTTAGATTATGTTAGTCGTGTAATAATTGAAATTAATTTAAAAATTTCTTGTGTCATGGAAAATCTTTTAAATTGATCTTAATAAATTTATTTGCAAATTTTGTTTCAATAAAATATCATTTATTTTAAAACTCTAGGCTATGAAGTTTCTTTAAAATAAATTGAACAAGTAAATATCACATCCATATACATATATTTTTTTCTTTTTTATTATGTTTTCATTAGCGAAAATTGCATACTATGCCTGTAATGATGACGACAAAAAAATGTATGACAGCATAAAAGTACTTCCTTCAATTGAAATAAAAATCTGTTGTATTGATATTTTTAACCATATGAATGATAAAAATAAGTTTTTTAATTGTGATCAACGTTCAAGGTGGAAAGATATTGATCATGAATATTATGGAAAAACTACTGTGACCTGTATAGCAGCTGAAAATGGACATTTGGAATGTTTGCAGTATGCTTATGAAAATTTTTGTCCGTGGGGTAAAGGGACTACTGCAGAGGCAGCTAGAAATGGTCATTTAGAATGCTTAAAATATGCTAATGAAAATGATTGTCCAAGAGATAAATGTACAACTACTAGAGCTGCTGAAAATGGGCATATTGATTGTTTAAAATATGCCCATGAAAATTTTTATGTTTGGGGTGATGGCACCATTAGAGAATCTGCTAGAAATGGTCATTTAAATTGTTTGAAATATGCTTATGAAAATGGATGTTTTCCTGAAGAAGGTACAGCTGCAGTGGCTGCAGAAAATGGTCATCTAAAATGTTTACAGTACATATATTCAAATTTTGGTAATTTTTGTTGGGATAATCACCCCACATTAGCAACTGAAATGTTTGATCATTTATTTTTAATTAGATCCAATATTGATGCTGATTCTGAAGTACCACTGGTTCCTGCCCTAGCTGCTTCAAAAGGGCATTTAGATTGTTTGATGTTTGCTCATAAAAATGGATATATGTGGGATTATCGAGTTACTGAACTTGCTGCAACTTATGGCCAACTAGATTGTTTGAAATATGCTTATGAAAATGGCTGTGATTGGGTTTGTACTGTAACAGAGGAAGCAGCAGCTAATGGACATTTAAACTGTCTGAAGTATGCCTTTGAAAATGGCTGTGAATTTGGTGATTTGACTATTGAAAAAGCTGCTGAAAATGGTAATTTAGATTGTTTAAAATTTGCACACGAAAATGGACATAGGTGGATTGCAGAAAGTGGTTTAAGATTTTCTGAGTTTTTAAAAGAGAATAATTTGTTAGATTTACATGAGAGAACTTTCAGATTAATTAATGAATTTGACCCATTTAAAAGTGTCACTAAGAAAGCTGCTAAAAATGGACATTTAAATTGTTTGAAATTTGCTCATGAGAGTGGTTATAAATGGGATTGTAAAGTTACTATAGCAGCTGCTGCAAATGGGCATTTAAACTGTTTAAAATATGCTCGAGAAAATGGATGCGAATGGAATGATTTAGTAACAGAAGTAGCTGCTAAAAAAGGACATTTAAAATGTTTAAAATATGCACACGAGAATGGGTGTCCATGGAGTGATAAACTTACTAAAGTAGCTACCGAATATGGACATTTGCATTGCTTAAAATATGCACACGAGAATGGGTGTCCATGGAGTACAGATACCATAAAAGTAGCTTCTCTATTTTTAAATAAAGATTGTTACAATTATGCTGTTAAAAATGGTTGTCCAGATTAATTAACCATTAAAATACTTGATTATATGTGATAAAGAAGATTCTAAGAGAATTCCAAGACTTTAATAGTTATATAAGTAAGTTTATTATAGAATAATAATATTTTTTTACTTTATATCATATTGTTTTACAATTATTATTGAATTATAAAATATTTTTTATTGCTCTTATACAATTTATAATATATTTTACTTCAATGTATCAACATATGACATCACTGTCCTACAAGAAATGATAAATTATTTTCATTTATTTTTGAAATATATGAAAAATTTCATAACTTAAATAATTTCAATAAAAATATAGTTATATGTTATCAACTTATTCATTTGCTCATAAATCTAAAAGATTAATCATTCAAAAAATTTTCCAACCATAATTTATTGTTATAAAAAATAAAATTTTCAACCCTTGCTCTAAATAGAAACCATAAACTAAGTTTATAATTAGGTGAAAAGAGAAGCATGGCTGGGAAATGACAAGTGATAGTAAAATAGTTGCATCCACTCTTCACCTCTAATCAAAACTTTAAATTGTTAATAACTCTTAAAATACTGGTCCAAAAGTTATTATTGACCAGTCATTTCTTAATTACTTCATTATCTATTAAATAAGGTAGTAAATTATTTACGTTGTTCTTTGAAGAAATAAAGTTGACACCCCTATAAGTTATAAGGTATGATTTTAAAAAGTAATCTAGAGCTGATAAATCAATATGTCACTAAAAAATACAAACTATTTTTTCTTGTTTATTGTATTTAATTTGCAAGTATTCAGGTGGTTTATGATAAACTGATCACCATGTATATACATGAATTTTGACTAGATAAAATAACTTTCCAATGTTACATACTACTATGATAAAATGGAAAAAAAGTTTAAAATATTTTCATTAACATTTAATTTTATTTACAGCAATGTTTAAATGATGAAGTTGTAAATTCAATTCTATTTATTAAAATTATTTAAACCTAATTAATCTTTGGGAAATTTTTTCTTAAAATCTTCCAATTCACCTAAAATAAAATAGAAATATAATATCAGTTATATATTAATAATCAATTATATGCATTTTACTTTCATCTAAATTGACTAATTTATTTTTAAAACTTTGTTGACCCGTTGTTGGATTTTCAGTGATTATAGATATTAATGACTTGTTTCCATCTTTCATAGTGATAGTTTTTTCAATTTGTCCCGATTGTAATTTACTTGTAATAACTTCTTTTTCTAACATTCTTCCATCATGTAAATGATATATTCGATTCACATTGTAAGAATTAGAATTCTGAAAGTAATTTAAAATTATTAGTAACTTATTAAAAACTAATTTAGTAATTTACCAGTGTAATATTAGGCAGTCTTTGAAACATGTTTCCTTCGTATGATTCATTTAATTTGATATCTTTTGTTAAACTGATAAAACAAAAAATTATTAAATATATAAATATAATAATTATAAAATATACTATTTTTATGTTGTAAAAAAAAAATTATTTTACTAATTGTAGTCAATTTATAAATTTAGTAGCTAAGTTAATAACTTAGTTTTCATAAAGGTCTTTTGCTCTCTAAAAGGCTAGTTTTTTTTGTATTATATTGAATATAACAAATTGAAAGAATCAATATTAACATGTAACTTCACATAAATTGAAAAATGTCATTTTTTTCAAAAAAAAATATGTTTTCATTTAGTTAAAAATTATATCCCAAAAAATGAGCTGATATACTTTAATTGTAAAATAACAAAATTTTATAGTGAAATACATTATATGAATAGGTTGCTTATATATTTACGTATTATATTAAAGAAAGGTTTTATTACATTAAAGTGAACTAATTGAAAATTATATTTCACTTTAATCCACTAATTTTCTGATTTATTATTTTATTAAATTTCTAGTTATATTTAGTTTATTTTTTATATTATAGTTTAAAAATAAATAAGAATCGTTTTTAAAAAGTCTTTTACAGATATCTAAATGTTTTGGCAAATTTAATAACTTTTCATCCAGCAAATATTTTGCATTTTTTTAGAAAAAAAATAAAGTTTACAGTTTTGAACTATTTTAAAGCATATATTTTATTGATTTTAATAATAAAAAAAAATTGTCCAATGAGAGTCCAACTAAGAAAAAATAGTAACAGACAAAAAAAATAAATACATCATGGTAAAATAAATACTTTATCAGTTTTGCTTCAAAGCTAAAATAACCAAAATTTTTTTAATTTTTAAAATAGCCATTTTTTTGTATACTTACTATATATTAAAACAATTGTAACTTAATAAGTACTTATCCTTAAGTTGTTATCAACCCATCAAAATTTTATATGAGAAAAAGGCTATTTTTGAAGTACTAAAAAAATAATTTTTTTCTTATTAGAAATAAATATCCTAACATATTCTCTGTATAATCTATAATTTATTATTTAGTGAATTTTTTTTAGCCTTTATACATTTTTTATTTTTAGTGTAACTATTACCGTGGATTTAGAAAATAGCGTTGAGCCATATAATTCGACCTAGGTATACCATTAAATTGATTTTCTTCTTGAGCAAATGGTTTATTCGAAACTAAAATAAAATAAATATTTATGGTTTTACACATTTTATATTAACTTTATATATTTTCAAATCAGTATAGCTAATAACATTTGTACAAGAAAGAATGGAAAAACCTAGTTCAGTTGAATAAGAAAACTTTAAAGAATTATCTACCATAGCTTGATATAACCAAGCTTAATAGGCCAACCAATCTTATAATTATATTTTTAACTCTATAAATCTTTTTTGAACTTACATATATTTGTATCATTATTAATAAAATTATCTGAAAACAATTCATCAACCAATTCAGGAGCAAAAGTTTTTATAATGTCACCAATACTTTGATGAAACATATGAATACTATCTTCAATATTTGGGAAGTTAGGATCTGAAAAAGTAAAACTATCAATCAATAAACTTAATAGTTAGTAACTCTCGGTGTTTTATATCATAAAATAAATTTATGTAATTTATTGAACAAATAATTCTTTAATTTTTCTCATAATGGTGAATAATAAAAGAAATGTTTACACAACTCATTCAAGTCATACCAACGTCATCACGGAATAGAATGATACCCAGGTTAACATATTTAGCAATAAATAGCAAGTCTATTAACGAAAAAATATATTGGTTCTAATTGCAAGGTAACTTTTCAAAATGTTTTATTTTTACTTGAAATATTTACAGGAGTATCCACATTTTTAGTTATGAGCTGACATTTCGAACTAGTTGCAATCTCCATCTACAGAGTGATAGTTATAGGCTCGTGGTTATAACTATACTGTTGATTTATTAATTATAATTGAAATTTGCACCATTGTTTTAAAGAATTGATATATTACTCATGCTCAATAAAAAAAGGCCACCCCAAAAAATACTAATGTTAAATAAAATTAATTAAATTGACTCACTTTGTTAAAACAAATACAGATGGTAAAAAAAAAATGTTAATTATGAAATATTTGTCAATCATAGGGTTGTGTTTAAATTCATGTAATAACAACTATAACTTATTTCCAGCCATCACTATAACATTAATAACTTCTGAAATACTGGTCCAAATCTGTTATCGACTAGCATTTTCTTAAGTGGATAATTCTTATAATCTATTAAATTATTTATGTTGCTGTTAAACAAGCAGAGTTGACACTCTTATGCTTAGAGACAAGTGTAAACATACTTTATCATTGATAAATTAAAAAAAAAAACATAAAAGAAATAAAAAAAAGTTATTTATTTTATTTTTCGATTAATTATGAGGTTGGTGATAAATGAATTACCTTGTATACTGTAAAGTATTGATTTGGTAAACTTTCCTTTTATTATTATTACACTTTTTTTTTTAATCAAGATATTTATATACATTTAATGGCCTAATATAAATTTAGAGAATTTTTGAAACAAAACAAATTTTGTTTTGAATAACTTAAATATTCATTATTACAAAAAAGAATATCTTGTTAAACATTTTTTTTGTATTTATTTTCTCTTTACCTGTAAATATTTGATGGTCATTAGGATTTGATATTTCATGACCATTTCTTGAAGGAAGTTCAAATTTTGATGGAATTTCATCTCTAAAATTTAATATAATAAAAAATAATAATGTTAATACAAAATTTTCCAGAATACTTACTGGTTTTCAATGTTATTGAAACGAAATAAATTTTTAAAAAAATTTGTAAAATCCATACTGTGCTATTTTAATAATTAAATTTGTTCAATCTCTTGGTTTTCTATGATCAATGCAATATACACAATAATTGTAAATGATTTTACAAGTTAGAACATTATTTCTAGTTTACAAGCAAATTATATAAATAAATGTAGTTGGTTTCATAATATATCATTATTATCTGATAAATTCATCAAAATAGTAGAAATGTTGACTAAAACCAATTTATAGAGAATGAGTTGATTTTTATTAGTCATTAAAATATATTATTAAAACCACAGAATAGTTAAAAAAATTTTTTTGATTTGTCCCATGTTAGTAATTATATTTATATATTTGTAATTATCATTATGTTGGTACTTTAGTGATAAGATGTTAAAATCTGGAACTGATAATTAATTGGTAAATTTTAAGATACTATCACTTAAAATATTAAAAGGTCGTAAAATTTGTTGATAACTTTTAAAAATTAATTGATTGAACCATTTATTTAATATCTTTAGTCATTGATTTGCTTTTATTAAAATCTACTATTATATTATTAAAATGTCTTTTAAATATGTAAAAAAGGTAAGCATTCATAATTTATAATTATTATTATATTACAGTGTTAAAAAACCAAGTATAAATTTATATTTCTACTAACATACCATACTCATTTATTTTCGAATATTCTATTTTTTGTACAACTATATAATATCAAAAATTTAGTTATTGATAATGCTAATTATTATTAATATTTATAAGTAATTAATACATCTTTTTTAAAGTTTTAACAGAATGAAGTTAAATAATTTATAAGGTGGGAAAAATTGGGTGAATAAAATAAAATTACCATGATTTAGTTAAGTAATGCACAATAGACCTATCTTCACTTAAAATGCAACACCTTATATTTAAATTTTTCAATATTTTAGGAGAGTTCAATAATGATTTTTTACTGGTATATATTTTAGTTATTAACTAATATGATTTATTGTACCTTTGTAATTTTATTGTCTAAACATTAGAAAATAATTGAAATAATTTAATTAGTAAATTCAGTCCATCACTGTGTGTTTTAGATTAAGGGGTCAACTTGGCCTAGTGTGTAGAAACATATGTTTTGGCACAGTAGTCTTGGTTCAATTCTCAGGGTGGTAACAAAATTTTGCTTGTTATTTTCTCATTGATGGTGTCTTGTCTCTGGTGCAAGCCATCCATATTACCTGTCCCGTCCATTATGAACTTCCTATCATGTGAAAGAGGGCCACCACCCTCTATAGCAAGTTAAATTAGAGAAATAAATAGATGCAAAATGATCAATTATTTAACTGTATTTTATATTTTTATTTTAGCTTACATAAATTTGATTATTCAAAAGAAAAATGTAATTTAATATTTTTTGATTCTTAGACCACAGGTCTTACTCGTTTAAATGTAGCCAAAAATCCGCAATATACACTTAATGTATTATATGGAAAAATTCTGCGAACAATTCAAAAAATGCCAGAAAATGCATCATATAGAAAGTATACCGAAAAAATTGTATCTGATCGAGCTAAAATTGTTAAAGAAGTATGTTTAAAATACTAGGTCTTACAAATTTATTTCAGTTTAACTAATATTTAAATTTAAAAAAACACAATATAAAGTTTAAAAAAAATTTAATGTAAAAAAAAAAGCTTTTTTAGTTTTATTTAATAGCTTATTTAATGAAGTTTAATTGTTACAGAGTGATACTGTAGAAGATATCGAAAAAAAGATTAATTGTGGTCAAGCTGAAGAGTTAATTATTCAAGCAGAAAATGAATTGATATTATCAAGGAAAATGTTAGCATTCAAACCATGGGATCCTATCATTGCAAAACCTAATGCAGATCAATGGGTGTGGCCACCAGCAGGAAAATAATTTTATATAGTGAAAAAATTCATTAGTATTTTGTTGTTTCATTAAATTACAACTGTATTATAAAAAATAATCTTGTAAATTCAATAAAACCATTTTCATAAATTTAATTGTATTAAATTATGTTTGTTAATAATGTTATCGGTGATAGTTTTATTAGTAGGTAACTTATATGTACTGTATAATTTTAATAACAGTTTGAAAAAATATAATTCATAGAAAATAATAGCACTAAAAATGTGAAATAAAATTATAATAAATGTTGTTACAAACTATGTTAAAATAATTTTACATTTATATTAAAATTTATTATTAGGTAATTATTACACAAAATTACTTTTATTAAAAATAATAAAAAATGATTATTAATATATTGTTTATGATAATCAGTAAACAATGATATGAACATATTGTTTCCAGTAGTCAGTAACAGTGAGATTGTACAAAAAGAAAAATAATAAACTTAACATTTCATGATGATATTAGTTGAGTAGATGGAACATAACTTTTAACTTCCTCCCAAACAAGTTCTGAAAAAAATATATGATGTGATAACATTAATTTAATAGTTTATATCAGAGCTGACCAGCTGACTTATATTGATCCATTCTAAGCCTGGTCCTTCAGTAAATCATGTTTAAAACCCATCACATTAGATTTTATACCATATAATGTAATAATAAAAATTTAAATAATAGGCAGATATGATAATTGATAATAAAAAATTTGCGAAGTTTTATAGATAAAAATATTTCATCATAAAAAATATATTAAAATACCTCAAAAACGTTTGATAATAATTGCATTAGTACATTGTTAAATTGGCCTTATTCTTTTTTTGTATGGAGCAATGATAGTTTGGTTACATTAAATTTTATAATTTGTGAATCTATTGCTATTTAGTGCATTAATATTTAAATCCATATGAATCTGGTCTGGATTAATTAATTGTTTACTGTATGCTTAATGACTCATAAGTGGGACCATTTAAATTTTTATAACAAATTTTATAATCATACAGGTCCGATATAATTATTTTAATTACAAGTCTGGATCATCCAAGAAAGGTTGGGTATGGGCTTAGCCTAGCCTAACTTATGCAAAGCTCTAGTTGCTACTTATTTCTGGACTTAAAAATGTCATACAACATATGTATTCTATATTAATTCAAAAGGAAATCAGTTGATTAATTAAATGTTCTTGATTTTAATCAATCAATATTTTTCTTTTGAATTTCAATCTCAGAGTACATTTTTTTTCTGTAAAACAAATACATAACTAGCAACATTGTAAACATTTTGAAGGGCAGAACAGTATAAATATTCTATTAATAAGATTATTTAAATAACCTTTCCATTTTTCTACATTTAATTCCATATCTTCAAAACTTTGATCATAAGGAGGAGAATTTGGTTCATCTGTTGGATCCGCATACTGAACTAAGTATGGATGTGCTAAGGCTTTTTCAGCAGTCATTCTTTTGTCAGCATCTAATTCCAACATTTCTTCTAATAGTTTAATTGCTATCCAAAATATAAAATTTATTAATTTAAAAAAATGTTAAATTAAGAATAATTTCTCTTTAATAAAAAATACTATAGTTGTATTAACTAACGAACGCAGAATTACATGCATTTATACATTTTGTTTAAGTTACTTTGAAGGGTTCCCAAGTTTGTCGTAACTTTTTGGTAGGATTATATAGGAGTGTAGAAATATTTTTCGTTTTAGGGGTATACACCTTTTTATTTCCCAATAAATAACACAATAACAGTATATTATTAAGTTTTGAAGTCAATTAATAACAATTTATACTGGTCGATAATATATTCGGAATAACTTAATAAAATTTATAAATCCATGCTCTAATAATTTAAAGAAAATATTGCTTTAAAATGTTTAAAACTTAGAAAACAAATCATTTAATAAAAAAATTTTTAAATATATTTTAACAAGAATCTTATATTTACTTTTTCAAAATATGCTGAAAATGTAATCATAAAATTATGGAAATACATTGTATTTTACCTAATGGATTTGCTCCTTTAAAAACTTCTCCAAAGTCTTTCTTCTTCATAACTGGTAAAGATTGAATATACTTTTTTGCCTAAAAATTAAGATATATCTTATATTACATATACATCATTGGTTAATAAGGAAGACATAAAACCAACACCAAACAAAAAAAGCATAAACTATGATAAACAAACCTCTGAACTTTTAATTTTATTTAAATATTCTACAGACGGTGTTCCACATAAAACTAATACACGTGTTAAATGATCCACATCTATATTTAAGCTCTGTTAAGGATTACAATAACATAACATTCGTTAACTTACCGACTCGCTAGAAATCTTTAACATCAACTCATTGGAAGGTGTTCCTAATATTTCCAAAATCAAATTTAACTGTTGAATGTCTTTATAATCATCATAAGAAAAAATTTAATTACGTACAAACTTATTTTCTTCACAATACACAACAAATTTAAATGTTATCAAAAGGATACGATCAGTACCAGGAAACAATGTTCTTCCTGTAAGTAGTTCAGCCATTATACATCCCACAGACCAAATATCAACTATTATACCATAACATTAAATTTAAAATATAAGATACAACATATATTTGAGGCATTTCATGAAAAAGTCAGTAATCTTAATTTTTATATTTTACACTTTTGAAATGCATCTAAATATACACTCAATATAAATAAATAATGAGTTCTAAGAAATATTATATGATTATTTGTGATAAAAAGCAAATTTTTCATACACTTAAATTATTATTATTGTATTTAGAAATTGTAACTAAAAAAAAATAGATTGATGACTTTATCACACAATTTTTCATTTGTAGGTAATAACCTGTTTGATTGTAATGCATCCAATTTAACATTATTTCTGGAGCCCTATACCATCTAGTAGCTACATAACCAGTCATTTCACTTTCTGTTGGTCTAGCTAAACCAAAATCTAATATTTTTAATTCACAATCTTCATTGACACCAATATTCGATGGTTTTAAATCCTAAATATTTTTTTTTATTAACAAATAGTTCAACCTATTCACCATTATTAATATACTCTGTGTATTATCCCGGCTGAATGTATGTACTTTAAGCCTCTTAATATTTGATAGACAAGGAACTGAACATGATCATCAGATAACTTTTGAGTTCGTATAATATTGTTTAAATCTGCTCCCATCAAATGAGTCACTAAATATCTACAATATACATTTGTAATATAACACATATTTTTAAATTACAGAAATACTTATAATAGTTCTTAATATTATTGTTCTTAGGATTTTTATGTTGAAGAAAGCTGAAAAGCTCTTTTTTATTTTTACTTTATGAAATATCACAAACAAGTTGGTAATAATATGAATAAATGAGTTACTCACAACTGATTGAAATTGTTGATGGAATTTGCTGGTGTAAATACATCCAATAAACCAATCACCTACAAAAAAATTTCCATTGTTAAGTCAAATTACAATTATAAAGATGTACAAAATTACATTGAAAATACTTAAACAACAAATTAAAATTTTTGCAAAACTCGAGAAAATTAATTACACAAAACCCTTATAATTAAACACTAAAATAATGTATTAACTATACATTTAGTATAGTTGACACTTTAGTATTACCTATTTAACTAAGATCAAAGATTATAATTTTCAATGATTTTTTAATAAAATAAAAATTAGCAACTTACATTTTCATGATTCATATGTTTCAACATACGTAATTCACGATATGTCCGTTTTGCATGAACAGCTGATTGAAATGGTCTAGCAAGTTTTTTAATAGCTACTTTTAATCCGGTTTGATTATCAACTGCAGAGCTATAAAAAAAGAGAATATAAAATTAAAAATTCAACAAATTTTATAGAATTTAGTACCAAACTTGTCCATAAGCTCCTAAACCAACTGCTGCTAGCATTTGGTAACGTTCTGGCACTTCCCATTCTGTTTTATTTATTTCAATTTTATAATACTTCATTTCGAAATTTAAAAATTAATTAATGTTGCTAGCATATCATATGTATTTCTCTAAAAAAACTAATTTTTTAAAATTAATTTACATATTTATTTGTATTTTCGCATTTTTTATTTTGAGATTCTGTTCCGATAATGCAGATAGCGCCTTGTCCTAAATATGAAAGACTTGAAATATTTTTAATTGGCGATTGTGATTGGTGTGTATCCACTACGATTATACGGACTTTCCCAACTCTTTAAACCTTATTTGTAATAGATACAGCCGTAGTAGACGATAAATAGTAGGCACAATATATAAACAACGTTAGTAATTTTAATATTTTTTTTGGCTGCAGTTAGAGAATTTTGATAATAAAATAACTACTACTACGATTTTCATTAAAATTCAAGTTTTTAACTTTCACATTAGTAGCAATGAAGCCATGTCCTTGGACTTCAGTGTAACCCAATACCGCTATATTTTTAGATTGCAGCTAATTTTTTCATTACGAATACAATTTATAACACGACTATCATGTATCATTTCATTTACCATACACTTTTGTTAAGCAAAACATAACAGAGCACACTATAAAAAAAACTAACAATTTATGATTGATATATCACATGAACTAAGATAAACCATTTATCTTAGTTCGTATTTGTGTGTAGGTAGTATTTTGGTTCGATGTGTCTTGACTATAGACCTCATACTCGGAGTATAAGGTATATGGTCCTGACCACGGTTATATATAAGACTTAATTGATATGACACATTGAGCCATATAATAGATTGTAAATAGTCTTACATAAGTCTTATCTAAATCGTGGTTCTGACGTAGTACTTTTATCGACATTATCAAATGTCGAAGGGATGATAATAAAATATGAGTATAACTGATAACACTTTTACTTGCTGTAATTCATATCACAGTACACCTAACTACAAATTAATTCTAATTATCTGTATCATAACTATCATTTTTTAAAAATTTAAATTCTTAAAGCAGAAATAAAAATGAAACTAATTTTTATTTGAAAAATAAAGTTAAATTTGTTTTTTTATATCCCATGAACTAACTGTATACTATTTTAATAATATAATTTAGTAAACTTGGTAATCGTGAAAAATAATGGCTTATAGCTCCGCAGAGGAGCTAATCAGGAGTGTAATTTGTCCGCATGTGGCTGTTTTATGTTCAGAAAAAGCACAAGAAATATGCCGTAAAAACCACTTAAACTTTTGTGATTTATTAAATCCATTTGCTCAAATAACTGATGGTAGATATATAACAATGTTAGTGTTAAAAATTTGACATACGTTAAAATTTTAATGATTTTTTAGTTAGCTTTAAAGATGCCAGTGGAACTCCTGTAAATATTCCTAATTTAAAAATATCTTTTTCTAATATGAATAATGAGCCTATACCGTTAACTAAAGAAAAAAGTAGACTTTTTAAATCTGTCAATGTTATTAATGATCCTGAGAGTAAAATTATCAGAATCGGTAATATCTGTACATATTTTTGCTTTAATATAAGTGTAATTTCTGAAATGTTTCATAGGAGAACGCCAATTAACAATACCGGAGAGCACTCCATGGTTCAACAATTGGAGAAAAACTTTTTTGCAATTATTGTCAGTGTCAGATCATGAATTTACAAAACATTACTTAGGATGTATGAAAAAATACTTTTTAATTTAAATTAATAGCCAACTTAATCAGTTTTTGTCAATTTATTTAGGTGTTATAGTAATAAGTTCTTTTGATGAAGAGCAAGTTAAAGTATTAACTCAACAAATCCAACAATCAATTTTACCAAATCAAAATCCTTCTTCACCAAAATGGTTTCATACTACAGTACTGCGTTATTATGTTGTATTACAAGAAAATTCAGATTCTGATTTAACAGTGTGAGTTATAGTAGACTTATTATAGATATATCAAGATTAAGAAAAGTGAATAAATATAGATTTGGAGAAAGCGTATGACAGAGTACTGAGAGACGTTTTAAAGTGGGCATTAATGAGAAAAGGAGGAGTCCCGAAATGGTACATTACTATAATAGAAGATATGTATGTTGGTACTTGTACCCGGGTAAAAAGTGTAGGAGGAGTATCAGAAGGTTTTTGGGTAAGAGTAGAAGTGCATCAAGGTTCTACTTTAAGCCCTTACGTATTCTCTATAGTGATGGATGAAATTACTAGAGAAATATAAGGAGAGGTGTTGTGGTGCATGTTGTTTGCTGACGATATAGTGTTATTAGGAGGAAATTAATCATAGGCTAGAGGTGTGGAGATCAGCTTTTGAAAAAAAGGGTTTAAGAATAAGTAGGAGTAAAACAGAGTATATAGAGTACAAGTTTAATAAAGGAGAACACGAGGTAGGTGAAGTAAGGAGACCAGTGACAATAGACGAGGATGTGATTGGAGAGGTAGAATGTTTTAAGTATTTAAGATCAGTTGTGCAAAAGAGCGGTGGTATTGACGAGGATGTAAGACACAGGATTAAGTGCAGGTAATTGAAGTGAAGAGAAGCGTCTAGCGTCTTATGCGATAAAAGAATTCTAATTAGGCTGAAAGGTAAATTCTACAAGACTGTAATAATGCCAGCTATGATATATGGTTCAGAGTGTAGGGCAGTTGATAAGAAAGTAGAACAGAGAATGAGTGTAGCAGAGATGAGAATGCTTAGATGGATGAGTGGAGTGACTAAAAAAGATGGAATAAGGAACGAGTCTATAAAAGGGAGTATAAGTGTAGCATCAATTGTGGATAAGATAAGAAAAAGTAGACTTAGATGGTTTGGTCATGTTATGAGGACAGAACAATCGGAAGCTGTAAGAACAGTTATAGAAATGAATGTTGAAGGAAGAAAAGGCAGAGAAAGACCAAAAAAGAGATGGAAGGATGCTATTGAATGCGATTTGAGGACAGCTGATATGAGCGTAGATGATGTGTTTGATTGTGTTAAGTGAAAGTTTAGGATAAGGTTGGCCGACCCCAAGTAGTTGGGATTAAGGCGAGGAAGAAGAAGAAGACAAGTGAATAAATAGTCAAAAAGTGGAAATTTATATTAATATACAAGTTTAATTAGTAATGGATCATGTCAGTTGTCTTACTAATTGAACATCTATCTAAATTTAGTGTATATTCTTTTAAGCAACTGAAGATTTGCTATTTTAATAATATCTGATAAAAACAAAATTAATTTTTTCTTCAAATTAACTATTTTTTATATTGCCACCAGTTTTTATATTACAAAGTAATAAATGTATTTAAATTATAAATATTTAATTCTAAAAGCCGCCAAGGTATTCTGAGTAAAAAATTGCAAATACACATTAGACAACAAAGTTAACATCATTAATGTTAAACAAAGAATGATACTATTTTAAATTAAAACTATATTAAAATATTTTTAATTTAAAACTAATAAAAAATTTAAACTCAAAAAGCCACAAAAAAAAATGTAGCTTATTTAAAAATGAGTGTGTATTTAGTGTTAATAATGGTAAAATTATTCCAAAAATATGTATCTGAGTTTTTTTATTATTTCTTTTGAGGCTTTTTGAGTGAAATATTTTTAATATAGTTTTAATTTTAAATAATATAAACCATAAGTGATCAAATTTTATTATATAAAGAATGATAACCTTCCTGAAAAATATTAACTATATAAATTGTTCTGTTTGAATAGAATATAAATAATACTCATTCAATTAATCACAAAATTAATACAATATTGTGAACACTTTTTTTTTTTTTAATTGCATATCATTTTTGTCCTTTTGGTTATTAGTTACTTTTTTAATGTTTTGAAAGTAATTCTGTAGTCTTTTTCCAAAATCTGATTAGACACATAAATGCAGTTTTCAAATTACTAATAATATTTTTAGAGAAGGGTGTTTTATATTACAATATTAAACACTTTTCTTACCATACTAAAATATTGCAATAATTGACCAATCAAATTTTGATAACAGCTTCAGTAACACTATCGTAATTCTTTAGGGGGTTATACATTCCCTAGTACAATGATTAGCCACTCTTTTCTTTTTTTATGTTATTTACCTTTATGCATGTTGTATATTTTTTATTTTTGGCTTATCATCTATCAATTAAAATACATTTATAATAATAAAGTAATAATAAAATTATTTCAATAATAGCCAATATAATTAATAATTTGAACTGAATTTTTTTTAGACCAAATAAAATTATTGAAACTTTGCAATCAACATATGGTCATAGCAGTTGTTACCTTCTTAGAGTAAATTCATTAAAAGAACCAAAAATTCAATCATCAGATGAAATGTGGGATTACTTAAATACCTCTTATGACCTAGACGATAGTGAAGAAAACCACAACAATAGTGGAGAATTTGAAAATAGCTTAAATTATAATGAAGATTCTATATTACATCCATTGAGTCCACAAGAATACAGTAAAAGTATTAGTAATAATACAAAATCTGTTAGTCCAAAAATATATGGAGCTTATTTAAATTCAGATGATTATATTAACATTAAAGAATTGACTAAACATTTTATAACAAGGTCATTAATACCTTATATTGAATCTCAAATACAATCATTAAATGAATCGGTATTATGTTTGTTTTATATTAACAAATAAGACTTCCTAATTTTGTTTAAATAGCATCATAATTAAATTTTTATAGGTCATCAATAAAAAAGGTGTTAGTAGATCGCTTCTTAGTGCAACAAAAAGATGGTTTAGTACTAATAAACCTACTGCAGCTACTGTACCAGCATCAGTGATGTTAATAAAGCTAAAATATTATTTAATACTTATAGATTAATGTATAAATTTTGTTAGATATACAAGTGATTCTCAAGAACTACAAACAAGACGTTTAGCTGATCTTTACATGATTTTGGGTGCTTGGTCTCTTGCATTTCCACTTTATCAAACAGTTAAAAGAGATTTTAGTGCTGACAATGCATGGTTGCTATATAGTGGCGCTGTTGAAATGGCTGCATTATGTGCCTTACTTTACCCCAGTATTTGTGATCATCGCAAGGCTATAGAATATGCCAATGAAAGTATATTAACATATTTAAATACTTGCAGGTAAATTAAGTTTAAATTCAAATTTATTATTTGTTGAAAATAATATGTTGGCAATCAAATTACAATTTAGTAGTGTACTTTTCAAATTATTTATTTATACCTATAGATCTCCACAGTTTGCTACAAGATCTACTCTTTTGATGTGTGAATTACTTGTAAGCCGCGAAATGTATGGTGAAGCAGCTAAAATGTTTATACAAATGACCAATGAAGACTCAGATCTCCGTAGTGCAATATTACTTGAACAAGCAGCTTATTCATTCCTCCAAGCTCAAAAACCTACAATGTTAAGGAAATATGCTTTTCATATGGTACTAGCTGGACACAGATATTCTAAAGCTTTACAAAGAAAACAATCCTTAAATTGTTATCAACAAGCTTATCAGGTAATATAGTCTTAAAAACATTGAATACTCACATTTTATTTATTCATACTTCTGCATTTTATGTTAAATATATTACATTGACTATTATTTGAAACATATAATATTTATTCTCTATTAGTTTTTGTGAAAGTTTTTTTAATATAAAATAATTCATAAGTTATTTATTTGTTTTAAGGTTTTTGAAGGTACACATTGGACATTGGCAGAAGATCACATTCAAACAGCAATTGGAAAACAAGCGACATTCTTAAAACATATTAAAGAAGCAACTGATGCTTATTCTAAATTACTAGCTAGAGCATCTAACCAACCTCCTGAGCAGCAAGCAACTTTATTAAGAGATTACTTAAATATAAAACTAGTAACTTTAATTGAGCTCACCAATATTTCAATACTTTTTTGATGATAAAAACTTTATTTAGGAATATGCATCTGGAAATAGTTATTCTTCAACTATTGATTTAGCTCTGCCACTGATTGATCAACAAAAAGTAAAAATACTTTTAAACTCTGATAGTGTAATTACTAAACCATACTGCTTTGATGAGGATTTGTTAGATACAAGATGGAATAAAATGGAAGAGGATCTCATTACAGAAGCTAGAGGGATTCCTCCATTAATATTTAAGCCAACATTAGCATATTATGGTAGTAATTCTGTTATAAAACAACAAATTTATAAAAACGGTATTTATTAACGAAATATGTATATTGTAGTAGTGTTTCTATAAAATATATATAAATCTGTTTATTTTATAGAATTAGTTCAAGTTCAAATAACATTATCCAACCCTTTAAATATATCTCTTAGCATTGAAAACTTATCATTAACATGTTCATTTGTAAAAGATTCAACTTCAGTAGAATCTCAAGTATTAGATGAATTACTATTAGCCCCTTCTAGTACTACACAGGTAATTCCTAATCTCTTCTTATTTTTATTCTATTACAATGTCATAAATAGTTATTATTTTATTAATTATTATTATTTACTCATAGTAAAGTTTAAGGTCAGTTTGGTTACTTTAAAGATAGAAAGTCTTAATTTCCAAACTTTTTTGAAGAATATTTTATTAGTTGCCATTAAAGTTTTCAAGTGTTACTTAACAAAAATTAGTAACAGTTAACATAGTCCATTGCATAAATCTATTAACTAATGGGTTAAGCCATCAACTACTTTATCTATTATTTAATAGATTTATGGTCTTTTGTATCCAGGGATGTGAAATGGCTTATATAATTTTTTCTGAAATACAAAACAAATTTAAAAAGTTCTTAAATTTGATATTTTTTGGAATCGGTTATATTAATCATTTAAATTTTCTTCAAAATTTATATTTAGATTAATTCTTTATATCAATTCCTGGTTATGTGAATTAATATAAAAAAATGAACTTCCCTGTGAATAGAGGATTAGAAATAGTGTTGAATGTAGTAAGTGTCTATGCGCCACAAGTAGGATGTGATGAAATAGACAAAGAAGTGTTTTGAAGAGAGATAGATTAGATGATGCAAGGATTACGTGGTAATCCTGTTTTGCAGTAATAGGTGGAGATATGAATTGACATCTCGGTAATGAGAAGAGAGAATATGAAAGAGTATGATTTTAGTGGGAAGAGCGAGGCTAGTTAAATAATCCTGGATTTCGCAGTATCCGTACTGTGATTAATACTTATTTTAGAAAGAGGGAAAAACGTAATATAACTTATATGAGTGGAAATAACAGATTACAGATTGATTATTTTATCTGGAAGAGAAAGTGTTTAAAGCGAGTAAAATATTGTAAAGTTTTCTCAGTCGAGAGTATAATAATAGGTATTGAATTTATGGTGTAGTAATTCATATGTAGCATTCATATTTTAATTTGGAGGGCTTAAAAAAATTAGTTACACAAAACATTTTTTTAGTTTTATTATAAAATATAAATTTTTATTACTATCATTTTCCGTGATTTCAACTACATATGAATATTATATGAGGAAAATCGAGGATCCGGTGGAGGATATTGAAAGGGGAAAAAGAAAAAAGATTTTAAACAGTAAAGAGAGAATGGTTTAGAATGTTGAGGGAGACATTAGTGTGCGATAAGTAAGGCAAAGTTTAAGAGGTATGACGAGTTGTATGATAAGTTAGGAACAAATATTGAAAATTACTATATCAAATAAATAATTTTAATGATCTTAATCATTGACAAATAGTTGTTATTATATACAAAAATAATAAAATTAATACAGAAAGTTGAAATTCTCTAAAAAGATTTGAAGAAATTGTATAATAGAGTTCTGAGAGAGGTTTTAAAGTAGGAATTCATGAGAAAAGGAGTCCAGAAAAGATACATTAATATAATAAAGAATATATATGATGGCACTTTTACCAGGGTAAAAAGTGTGGGCGGATTAACAGAAATATTTTAGGTAAGAGTAGAAGTGCACCAAGGTTCTGAATTAAGCCCTTACTTATTTTCTATAGTGATGGATAAAATTACTAAAAGTAGGTGAAATAAGGGGATTAGTGACAATAAATGAAGACATGACAGGAGAGGTGGAAAGTTTTAAATATTTAGGATCAGTTGTGCAAAAGAATAGTGGTTTTGACGAGGATGTAAGACATAGGGTTATGTACAGGTAGGTGAATTGGAGAGTAGCGTCTGATGTGTTAGCGATAAAAGAATTCCAATGAGTGTGACTCAGAGAGTGACTGGAGAAGATAGGGTTAAGAACGAACATATAAATGGAAGTATAGGTGTAGCGTCAATCGTGTATAAGATGAGAAACACAGAATTAGATGGTTTGGTTATGAGGAAAGAAGATTTGGAAGCTATAAGAACATTTATGGATATTAATATTGACAGAAGAACAGGTAAAGGAAGATCAAAAAAACAGATGGAGATATGTTATTGAATGCGATATGAAGACAGTTGATGTGTGTGTAGATGATGTGAGAGATTGTGTCAAGTGGAAATTTAGGATAAGGTTGGCCGACCCCAAAGGTTTTGGATTAAGGCGAGGAAGAAAAAAACTTTTAATTCTGCCAAATTATTTTTTTAATGTTCAAACTTATGTATAAAAAAAATTACTTATGTATATTTTTTAGATTGTTCTTGGATTAAAAGTCAATAATATAGGAACATTAACAATAACTGGTATTCAATTTGGTTTAATGATACCATCAGTTTTAAGTGATGATTCAGTAAAACGATTTATAAATGGATGGCAACCTTTAAAAATGCTGAATTCAATAAAATTAGATGTTCAATCACCAACTGCATCATTGAAAGTAATGAACTAAGGAAATTGTATTATTTTGTATTCTAACAATATTGATGTATATTAAAGAAAAAAACTAAAATTATAATTGTATTCATATTTTTTATTTTTAAATTTTTTCTATATATATCAAATAATTTTTTAGATAGTTCTTAAACTTAGAATCTATACCATATTTAGGTTTCTTTTTAATGTTCAGTAATTTGAAAATAATCAATACAATCAACCACAATCACGAGTTCACTGGTAAAATTACACAGGCTTAATTAAATTTAAAAAGTTATTAACATAATATATTAGAGCAAAAAATATAAATCAAAATTTTATTTAATCAAAGGTTTTAGTATTTATTAGAACACACTGTAACATAATAACATAATCTCTAGTGTACTCTTTAGATGAGGTATATTTATACTTTTATTTTTTCAGGTTGACTTCCTGGGTAATCAAGTTAATTCATACATTGGAGAAATGAATGTTATAAAACTTAATTTAGAAAATAATGGATCTTTACCTCTTAAAAAAATATTAGTTTCAACTTCTATACAAGATTGTTTTTTTTCTGAATCTGGGCTTTTTGGTAGAAATAAAAGTATTCATTGTTTACCATTTCATATTTTCCCGGGTTCAAAAAATTCAGTTGATTTTTGGTTTACTAGTCCTAACAAAGATCAATTCAGTGTTGATTTATTATTTTATTATGAACCTCAAATAGAGTCAAAAAAACAAGAATATAGACTCTGTAGAGCCAGTTGGAAAATGACTGCCAGACCGTGTATTCAATTAGCTGCATCGGCACTATTTACAAATCAAGCCACTGAAATGCTTAATTTAAAAACAATTATTCAAAATGTTCACAAAGTAAAAAAAAAAAATCAATATAACTAATTTAAACCTTTTCATCAAACAATTCAATTTTAGGGGAATGATGTTGATAAAGTGAAATTAAAAAATATTTTTTTACTCAGTTCAAATTGGGAATTAGCTAAAAAAGTGTTCCTACCTGGAAGTCTTAAAATTCTTGAACAGCAACAGTCATGTCACTTATTTTTACAAGCTTGTCGAACAAATCAAAGTTTAGTATCAAAATTAAGCTTAGATGAGGATCAGTATATTCTGACTAATATTTGTGAAAAATTTGTTTCTATTACTAAGCAACTTTCATCAGAAATAAATAGTACTCAAAAGTATGATAGACACAAAATTATACCAGATGTATCAAAATGTATTGATCTTGTTTTGGCCATATTATGGCAGGTAAACTATTTGAATTTTTTTTCTAACAATATTAAACATACCGAAGAGTAGTAAAAGAAACCATAATGATCTTATGAGAGGTAGAGTTTTTGTATTAATACATTTTTCCATTAGTATCTTGTAGCTACTTGCCATTTTTAAGTATGTTAAATTTTGTTACAGGAAAATGTTTCATTTTGCTTTATTTAATTATTTATGATAGATCTTTTGAGTACTAGAAAAATAGAAATAACTGTGATAAAATAATTAATTGAAGGAAAATAGAATATTTACCAGTAATGAAATTAGGCATACTTAAAAATAATAAGTATTTATATATGAAATTATTTTTTGAAAAATTAATTTCCAAAACTGTCTCCAACAAGTAAGAACATTCTTGGAGGGGTTTGGATCTCATAAACTCTGCCCCATTTTTTTAATATTATATAATAGTTGAGGCTAAACTTGTTAGTCTGCAAAGAGATGGAAAAATTTTCATTTGTTCCTCCCACTCTTGAAATAAAATCTTAACTATAAAGTGATACATGAATCATGAAACATTCATTTTCTCATAGAATAATAATAATTTTGGAAAAAAAATGCTTGTAATTTTCAGTTACATACAATTCTAAATTTATCAACCATTAAGTTTTTTTTTTTTTTGGTTCATTGAATGGTTCATGATTCACGGATCATCTTGTGTATACCTGCCCATAAGATCAGTATAGTTTCTTTTGGCTCCTCCCTTATACATCTTAGATGACTTTAATAAGTTATGTATGAACTATATTCTTAGATGATAATTAAAGATCATTCCAACCATACTAGAATTATTAATGGTATTCATAGAGTGTGTTTGACTAAATTAAATACAATGGTTACCAGTCCTGAATTTAGCTGTTTAAATATTTCTAAAAGTATTACTAAACCAATGGGAAGGCTGAAAATATTTGGACCTGATCGTAATATTAATCCATATGATGGTACACCGTTACCCAACGACACTATAGATTCTTTAGAATCACCTATGAATCGATTGCTTAATATTGCACTTTCTCATCCTAATATTGTAACTCATTCTTTTATGGAGAAAAAGTAAGAATACTTTTAAATACTTATATATATAATTTCTCATTATATAATGTTTCTTATATTTAGAATTTGTATTGTATCCATTATAATAATAGTTAAAAATTGTGTAGAACACAATATTGAAGTTAAGTTAAGTACTGATACAAGCAACTCTAAGTAAGTATTTTTAATATTACATAAAATTCTATTCGAAATTATAATCGTTCAAAACTTTTTATAATAAATTCTAAAAATTGAATTTTTTTCAAATAGACCTGATATTGATAACCAAAACTTTTGTTGGGTCGGTGTTATTGACACAAAGCCTTTTATAATACCAGTAGCAGGAACCCATAAAATCCAAATGAAAGCTGCTGTTGCATCTCAGGGCTGTTACAAAGCTACATCAAAACTCAATGTTTTTGCACGCCCGCATCCACCTGCTCAACATGATTTCCTAATCCAAGTTGTTTCTTCTTCTTCCTTGTTAATAGTGAAAGACTCAAAGTCTGAAATACTTAGTTAATGCTTACTACTTTTCTACTTGGGTTTTTTTCACTTTATCTTTTCTTTAAATATATTTATATAATTTATTTATTTTTTTTGTTAGGTATATTATTTATTATGAATCATTTGTTTTTAAATGTAATATTGTAAAAAAATATATTTTAAATATTTATCTATTTATAGATATATGTTAATTTTCATCAATTATACCATCTATAGTATCTTTTATAGAACCAAATTTAGGTCTTTTGTTAGGATCAGGATTCCAGCATTCAAGCATGATTTTATATAAACTATAACTACAAAGAGCTGGTCTAGACATGCGGTAACCTCTCTGCAGTAGTTCGTACAGTTTAGAAGAGTGTATAGATGGATAAGGACATCCTCCTAATGTCATGATTTCCCAAAGTAAAATACCAAAAGACCAAACGTCACTTTGAGTTGTGTAAACTCTGTACTTGAGAGATTCAATGGCCATCCATTTAACTGGTAGAGGGTCACCACCCTTAGATTTGGTATAATGGTTCTGTTCATATACATCCCGACTTAAGCCAAAATCGCAGATTTTAATTGTATGATGATCGCTCAATAATATATTTCGTGCAGCTAAATCACGGTGTACTATTCGGTTTTTCTCTAAAAAAGTCTACATAAACAAATTATAATAAAATAATAATTAGTAATTAATTATTTTTTATTATAGAATCATTCAATTTTATCAGTAAATAAATGAATTCCCCCTTATTACACAAGGGTTACATTTGTATGTAGGGTTATATGCATTTTCTATAAATGTTGAGTTAAACTTCCCCTTGTATAACCTGGTTGATGTTATGAAATTAAAAAAATATTTGGGATATAAAAATATCTTAATAAATGGTTAAAATACTATCTGTGTTGATAATTAATAACCCTAATTACCATTCCGTTAGCAGCTTGGCTTGCAAATCGGAGTAAATCTTCAATAGACAAAAATATTTCTTCTTCCTTATGATATAAGTAACAGTTATTAGATACTATTGGAGGTCTAGTAATATTGCTGTTTTGCCAATTATTACATTCCACAATTCCACTGATGGTTGTTTCATATCCAAAATCATTTGAATACCATGGCTTGATATTAACCTTCAAAAACAAATATCAGAATATATATATATATGTATTCTGAATTGATATATATATATATATATATATATGTTTTCACTTATTTTCATGAATACTTATAAATCAAAACTGCTAAGTCAAAGGCTTATTCAAAAAGGCTCTAATCTTTTTTGAATGTTTTTAAAACTTTGTTTAATTAACGCAAATCGATAAAAATACTGAAAGAGAGAGTTCAGGTACGTAACTAAGATTTTATTTTTAGGGAGTAATTAAAAAATTTCATCCTTCCTAGTTAATACTATCGCGGAATCCAGACCCCATAGGCCGTCACTAAATAGGTTATTTGCTAGAAATCAAATATAAATTTCATTATTATTGTATTAAACAACAAAAATGTAATTATGTTATAATTATAATTGTATTATTTGTACAAAACTCATCTCAATACAATCATTTACATTTATATTTGTTATTGTTAAATTAAAAAGTTAATGGTAATTAGAATAACTCGCGATAAAAGTTGTCTCTCGTTTATTTAAAAATGCTCATAAATGGCAAATAACATTAACACACTTACTTTTCTCATATAACTTAAAAGATCACCCAATGGACAATATTCCACTATTAACATGCATCGATTATTAACATCCACACAACATCCAATCATAGATACAATATTGGGATGCTTGCCAACTTTTTGCATGAGTAATATCTCACCGATGAACATATCGATATCTCGACTACTCGGCCTGCCCTGAAGAGATTTGATAGCCACAGGATACTCTTCGGTTGTTTCAGATTTGACGATACCTTTTCGAACGACACCAAAATGACCGCTACCCAATTGCTCCTCAGAAACTATTATGTTTTTTTCGTCCATCAACATGTGCACATCCTCTAATCCTTTGAGCACATTCATTTCGTATGCGCTTAATTCTTGGACTTTGGCTTCTATTTTTTTGCGGTAAACTTGTTTACCTATAACCCCAAATGTACATAGAGCTAAAAGAGTGATAATTGTCCATAAGTAGTATTTGCCGTCGGATGATCTTGATGAATGCCGGTGACGTTCCTCCCAAATCTCTTTACCAGCACCAATCTCATTAAACGCCTGTATACTCACATAGTAATTGTTGTTCAGTGAAACATTTTCAAAGTAAGCTTCAGTTAACGCACCCGACACATTCTTTGATTCTGTACTTAGATTCACCATGTAATAATCAACATTGATTTTCGGACCTTTCCAAGACACTCTTACATTAAATCGATTGTGGCTCATATAAGTTTCCTCAACCGATAGGTCTGTTGACGGTCCTGGCGCTGGAAACAAAAATTATTAACATTCATTTGCAATTTATTTTTGTAGTTGAATGTTTTCTAAGATATTTTTTTTCTAGTTTCAAAACATTATTTTTTTTCTATCAAAGGATTTGATTCAAAACCTTTAACAAATAAATATTGATCATGCACTAAGAAATCTCCTTTTTATTATGTAGAATCATTAATATAAAAAATATTACATGAAGAAATAAAATTTCATAACCACTAAATGTCCAGATATTTAGTCTCAGTAAGGTACAGAATTTTTTAAATTTTAAATTATTATGTAAGATTTAAGAATACACCTTTAAAATTCTCTTCTAAAGAGAAGAAGTATTTTATGAAATATTCAGAGCCATCCCACGGGGATATAAAACTCTCCCTTTTTTAATATTTATAAGTGAAAATTATTTTATCGTTTTAAATCACAATTTTTTAATTAATGTAGTCGCTTAACCAAAAATAACAAAAAAAAGGAACAAAAAATTATTCTATCCATAAAAATAATGGTTTCAACCTTATATTTTTAACTTAAAAACAGCTAAAAGCACAATTCAAGGTTTTAAAAAGAGCTTAGCTTCCCCAAAAATTGTGAAAATTACATATAAATTTATAAGACAATTTTTAAGGGGGATTTAAATTAGACTGTTAGGCAGTCTAATTTAATCTCTATAAATAACCTTAAAAATATTTCATTTTCTATAAATTATCACAAGAACTCTTTTTTCGTGTATCAACATATAGTATTACTCCAAAATATTTAACTTTGGCAAGGAGGAAAATGAGATTGCTAAATTGAAGTCAATAAAAAAATTAAATAAATGTTAATTGTTTGTACTAACGGCATGCCTCAGAAAGGTTTAATTCCCAGCAAGCTGGCGTATGAAACATTATAACTCTGTTTGCCGAACCATTGAGGGCCATTTCCAATTTTTTTTTGTACCATGGTTGCATCGTCACTACATACTCGGTGTCATAGGACAATTCAGACAAATTCAATTCATTGAAATCTGCTACGTCAATTGAGTAAACGTTAGGATATTGAAGATTGTACTTATTTTGGTGACATATGATCTTGTAAAAACAATTTTTGCCTTGAAGAAAAAAATAAGCACAACAATAAGATATTATACTATTAAGTTTCATCAGTGTGCATTCATATTTTAATTTGGAGGGCTTAAAAAAATTAGTTACACAAAACATTTTTTCAGTTTTATTATAAAATATAAATTTTTATTACTACCATTTTCCGTGATTTCAAACTACATATGAATATTATATGAGGAAAATCGAGGATCCGGTGGAGGATATTAAAAGGGGAAAAAGAAAAAAGATTTTAAAAAGTAAAGAGAGAATGGTATAGAATGTTGAGGAGTTGGGATTAACGCGAGAATAAGAAATAGAAGAATAAGAAAAATTAATACAAAAAATAGTCATAATTAGTGATGTACAATTACCGTAATATTTTTTTGAGAATATTATAAAAGACGACAACATTTTTATTAACTTAGTTTTGTTGTATTTTATATTGTAAAATGGTTCTGAATTGACCATTAAATAAATAATTGTTCACTTTCAAATTTATCTTTTTAGCTTCAGATAATTAGATCAAACGAAGTTAGAGATATAGTCTATTTCGAATATAAGTTTTAGAGTTATATTTAGAAGTAACCAAATGTATGCTTATCGCCAAATTGAACCCAAATTGTGGTAATTGTATAGTATTTTTTGTATACGAATTTTTTAGTAGCATCAATTGTAAAGAATTTTTTGTCAGGGTTATTATTTTTAGTCTTTAAACATTCATATTATTTATAACCCATAATAGAAATTCACATTATAATAATAAATCAGATAATTAAAAAAATTAAGAAACCAAAAAAATTCCAAAATATTAAGAAGCCAACAAATACAAAAATATTGAGAAGCCATAGAAATGCAAAAACATTTAGAAGCCATAAAAATACAAAAACATTGAGAAGCCACAATAATACAAAAAGATTGTGAAGCCATAAAAATGCAAAAATATTGAGAAACCATAGAATGGCTTTTTAATTTATGTTTTTAGAGTATTTTAATACTTTTATTACAATGCGAGTATCAACGAGAAGATTATTTTTTATCGTAAATTATCAATAAATATTCATCACTATATAAATATATAATTAATAATTTTTTAAAATTTAATTTTGATAAGTTCAGGAACTAAAAAAAAACATAACTACGGATGCCATCTATTTTTATAAAAGATAACGTTTTCGAAAACAATATAACTAGTATAGTGTTTGCATAACTATACTCACAATATTTTGAAGTAAATGAATGACTGAAAATAAATATAATTGAACAAATTATTATCGAAGCCAATGTTTTTAACGAATGTTTGAATGGAAAGTAAACAAACAGTAGTAGCACAGTGGGGATTTGGCAAATTTGGGACAAGTATAAATGATATCTGACAGTGATTATAATCACTATCATAAGAAACGCTTTGATGTAAATCTGTAGATAGTATTTAATTTTTAGAAGAAATTGTTGGATTATTCCAAAAGCAAATTTAACTTTTATTTCCTTAATAATATCCTAATTAATAGTTCTTCAATTTACTAGTAGAGCAACAATTTATTAATTTTTTTTTAATTTTCCTATTTTCAAATAAAAATCATACTTTTTTATTTTACATTGATATTCGTTTTCACCACAAAAACGAGTCCAAAAGTTAAATTTTTTTTCAAAATAAAGTATCTCATACAAGCTTTAATTTTATATATACAGGGTGATTCATTAAGGATAAGACACTCGTTTACTCAGTAACTATTGAAAATTTTAAATTTTTGGTAAGGAAAATATTGTTTGATTCAAAAAACACTACAATAATATGTAGTAAAAACATGATATTTTTCATCCCTTCAAGGTTAAAAAACATTAACTTGAGTTTTTTTAAATGAGAACACATATTTTGAATTTAATAAAATTTTTGAGTTTTTAATTTAATAGCAAATGGCATTTGAATTTTTAATATAACTTTATTCGTTTATTAGATATAAACACTTAAAGTTTCAAATTTTTTAGTTAATATACATGTATAATACACTAGGGATTAAAATTACAGGTAGCTAATTGGTTTTTTATGACATCGATATTAGCAGGTACAAAGCATTGTTATTATCAATGGTAGTAAGGCACATTGTTGTGAGTTTATAAATACACTAACTGACAATACAGAATGTATATCTATTGATAGTCATAATGGATAATGAACAATCCGTGACTGTGACAGCAATGTCATAAAAAAACAATTAGCTACCTGTAATTTTAATTCCTAGTGTATTATATATGTATATTAACTCAATTTGTTGAGTTTAATAGTCAATATTGTCAGTTAGTGTATTTATAAACTATGTGTTTAAATATGTGTTCTCATTTAAAAAAACTCAAGTTAATGTTTTTTAACCTAGAAGGGATGAAAAATATCATGTTTTTACTACATATTATTGTAGTGTTTTTTGAATCAAACAATATTTTCCTTACCAAAATTTAAAAATTTTCAATAGTTACTGAGTAAACGAGTGTCTTATCCTTAATGAATAACCCTGTATATAAAAGTATCAGTATTTTAAGAAAATTTTCAAAAATTAAGTTGAAATAGTTCTACTTTCTTTATGCATGTTTAAAGTATTGACTCTCATGTTTAAAAGGTAATGGTCAGATTCAAAAAAAAAGTTTGTCAGATAAAAGGGGGATATATTAAATACTTATAAAAAAATATGATCTTGATCGATACATTATACAAAAAATTATAGCAATATAAAGTTCAAACTATAAAATATGAAATCGAGAATTTTAAGACAAAAATAGTATATTTTTGAATACGTTAGCTTTTTTCACTACAAACACAAGTCCAGAGAAATTATTTTTTTTAATTAAAGTATATTAAATTAGCTTTAAATTAATATATATATATGTATAAATACATAATAGAAATATACAAAATTTCTAAAACAAAAAATTAAGTTTAAAAAGTTAATTTTTTGTGTAAAAATAGTTCTTTGCAATACTTCCGTGGACAAGTAAATGTAATTTACACAGTTTAAAAAAAAATTACTAAATCATAGGAAAATACCTGAAGTACTTAAAAAAAAAAGTATGAACAATAATTTTCTCAACAATATTATTATAATATTGTATATTTAAGAGAAATTGAGTGACTAATTGTAAAAGAGCCACTCTGTGTAGGAGGTTGGTTTGAGTTTATATAAAAAGTGTATCAGATCTAAATTATAACGCTTATAACTTTTGATAAAATTATGTTATTATTATACAATTTTGTTTAGTTATTGCCTATTTATTATTAAATAAAATAAATCATTTTTTTTATCCCTACAATTATAAGTTCAAGGTTTTCAACTATGAATCCTCCTCATATACAGCTCTTGGTATCGCTTATATAATATCAGTGTTGGGAAAGTTCCTTTTTAAATGGAACTCGTTCCGTTCCCCGTTCATTTTCTAAAATATGAACTCGTTCCAGATCCTAGTTCTTTATATTAAGAAGGAACTTGTTCCAGATCCAGTTCCTCCAAAATAAGAACTCGTTCCACTCTTTGTTCCTTTTATGTAACCAAGTTATTTAAAACATTGTGGCAATGAGATCATGATAACGGTCATCAATGATTTTCATCAGCAGTCGAATACAAAACAAATTTGTAGTATTCCTTATCTAAAAGTATTCGAAAATTATATTTATAAGCAGGTAGTAAATGCTAACGACTTGTGTCAACGCGACCAATGTCTATTGTCTACATATAAGTTAGAAATAATAAATCAGAAAACCCAAAACCTTTAACATAAATTAGTTAACAAGAAACGACGATAATATTCGGTGCATTATTTAATATATGTACACATATATTAAATATTTACTGTATACCTACATGTGATAATAACTCTATCTATAGTCAATTGATTCATTTAAACAGCCTACGATCTCGGCTGGGTATATAGGGGACTTCCATTGTCAAAAGTCAACTAAAAATACCATAATATTTTAATGTCTAGATACGAAGAAAACTACACTAAAACATGTTTATAAAAATTTTTAGGAACTGTAATTTCCGTTCACGTTCCTTAAAAAATGGAATTTGTTCATTTTCCTCGTTCCTTTATTTTAAAAGGAAGCAGTTCCTAGCATCGTTCCTTCAAAAAGAACTCGTTCCAGGAATCCGTTCCTTTTGGAACTAGTTCCTTCTCAACACTGTATAATATACACATTATGTATACAGAGGCGCCTGTACACATATATTCTATTTTTTGCATGGGGGCAAAAATTAAATGACTAATACTCAATTTCCTTGGTTGTTACTAAGCTAAAAAGCGGGTTTAGCTATTTTTTGGTGAATTTTAATGATTATATAAAAAAAATCAGGTAATTTATAAATTTGTGTTTTAATAATACATATTATTAGCTTCGATGCGAAGATGAGAAGGTATTAATTTTACCATAATGTGTTTATTATTATTATTTTTTTTTGTGTCTGTAACTACTTTTTCTCAGCTCTCACTGCACCGATTTATCTCAACGATACGTCAAAACATCACAAAACCTAGTTGAAGAAATAACCCCCAAAAATTAAAAATGTTTCCCTGGTTCCCCGTAAATGGTGAAAATCCCCCCGAAAATTGAGATTTATAAAATTGGTAAATTTCTACATTTTTTTCTAAAAATTACCATAACTTTTTGAAAAATGAATAATTCTAAATAATTCTTTTATATATAAATACCTCAGATATTATCTTTCGTTTAATATTCATTTTTTTTCAAAATCTGACCTTTTACTTGCCCACGGGAGGATTCAAAATGGCAACTTTTGCACAAAAGTCAACTTTTTCAACTTAACTTTTGAAAATGTTCCGAGAACACTGCGTTTTTTAAACATATGTTAAATTAAAGCTTATGTCTTATAAACTTAAAAGCTTATAAACACCTTATCTTCTACATGCAAACGGCTGCCTTAGTTAAAAAACAATCTATTTTTATACTTTATAAGGGTTTGCCATAGTAATGATTCCATCAGTTAATATAAAATTTACATGAATCTAACTTACATGAAATATAAATGTATACTTATTTTGATTATTTTGTCTCTATAAAATTAAGAAATTTTTTTTTGAATTTTCGAAAACTTGAAAATTTTTATAAAAAGTAGAATTTTTTCAACTTAACTTTTGAAAATCTGCGTCTTTTAAATATATGTTGAAATAAAGCTTATTTTATATACTACAAGTTAAAAAAAAAATTTGTACTGATGACCTATTTTCTATGTGCAAATGGCAGTCGAAGTAGAACAAAAATTAGGAGTTAATTTTGCTTTAGATTAATCCATTAATTTCCTAAAATTAAACACTATCTAATGATTTACATCGAAGCATTTCTTTTGATAATGAGTTTAATCACTGTCAAATATTTCGATAGTTGTTCCAACTATACCACGACTGTGCTACCGTTATTTAAAAATCAACTGGAGTTAGATAAATTCATTAACACTTTTTAATCTTAAAATCTGAATAGCTGAATTATTAAGTATAATAGTTTTATATTAATTCCCAGATTCATTATAATTTTTTTTTGTCAGATTCTATTGATGGGGCATAATGATACTTTTATCCGCTCATATTTTGATTAAGGGGGCAACTGCCCCCTGCCCTTCCCCACGGTTCCGACGCCACCATATGTATGTGATGTAATACCACCAAATCAATAACAACTTTTTTTTAACCAAAATTATCAATACTCACTCGAAGACAGTTTCCACTGAAGGCGTGTATCTATAGAGCTTTGCATTTCAGAAACGTTGAATTCTCTGCTTACATTTAACCAGTCGACGGGAATAAGTGATTCAAAATTATTCAAAGTACGGTCGGCGTCTAAGTCTATGGTACCTAAATGACATAGAGTACCATTATAGGTTAATCTAACCCTGGCCAAGTAATAAGTTTCTTGTTCAAGTTTATCAAATCGGACATACGATTGAGTCGACTATAAAATATAATTAAAAATAATTTTTAAATCACAGGTTTATCAAATGGTTTAATTATGAAATAAAACAAAAAAATGTTAAACTACACAGTGTACTGCTATGATTTAACTAAACACATAATTATAATTTCTCTAGAAATTTAACTAAAATACATTAATAAAATAATGTTCTTATAATCTATTCTAGAAAATATCTATTTTTAATTGGTTTAAAATATTCATTTCTTTTAAAAATTAAAACATAGAATACTAGAGAAATTGAGAGAATGTCATTAAATGGCTTAAATCAGTCATCCGAATTTCTATAAATTTACTATTGATAACAATGATTGGCACGTTGTAGCCAATCATTGTTATCATATATTAACTATAGTTAATGTTAATTATATATTTGTGTTTAATTAAATTAAACATAGTTCAAAATTTTTCTTAAGTGTTAATGAGTTTTAATTAATAACTTATTTATTTGTATTATTTGTATATTATCAAAAGATTAAAGAGTCCTCCCAAAATTGAATTTAACTCTTATTTTACTAGGATTAAATATATATATCTATATTTGTATGAGTAAATATTTTTAACAGGACGAATAATTCATTATTTTTTTTTTTTTATTTTTTAAGCTTCAACTTCAAAAGTTATTAGCTTGAACAAAATTAAATTATTTGGTTACATATAATATTATACAATAGTATTTCTTAAACTAGTTTCGCATATAAAAAAAATTTTTTTTTTTTTTTTTCCTTAAAATACAAATATACAATGGCTGATTAAATCGAGTTGTACATATCGATTAGTTTAAGAAATGAGATTATTTTTATGGTGTCGTCATGGGTTGGGCTGAGGGCTTCAAAGAGGTTATCAGGCATTTCTAATCTTTTTCTGGTATCTATATGGTTACGACATTGGACAAGGTGGTGCTTGACTGTGAGAGGGTCTCCGCAGGTTTGGCACATTGCAGGATCTTCTTTGCGCATAAGATATCTATGGGACATCATTGAGTGGCCAATACGTAGTCTGTTGATAATTACTTCGTCTTTGCGATTTGATGAATGAGGTTTGGGCCAGTATTCTGTAGTATTTTTTATTTCCCTTAGTTTATTATTAGGTGTACGCCGCCATTCAGATTCCCATACATTTGTACAAAAGGTGCTTACATTCCTATGGATGTCAATGAGTGAGGAGTATGTGCGTGTCTCGGTCAGAGGGTTATTTACTGCTTCACGAGCTACTTGGTCGGCTTTTTCATTGCCATCTATTCCACAATGACCTGGTGTCCATATAAACCGTATGTTCTTGTTAGCTTTTACAATGATGTTGCTTATTTTAATTGCTAGGGTGCTTGAGTGCCAGTTATACTTAAGATTGTTAAGAGCGCTGAGTGAATCTGTACAAATGTTAGTGATTGAATCAGGTAATTGAATGGCTAGGTAGACTCCTTCCAGGAGTGCAAAGTATTCCGCCGTATAAATGCTGTTATGGTCTGGTAGTTTGTACGATATAGATTGATGGCCATTTATGATAGCAATCGCGACGCCTGAGTTGGTTTTGGAGGCGTCTGTATAGATTTGTGGGTTTGACGGAGGAGAGTTGATGATTTCATTGAATAAATTTTTATAGATAATACTTGACGTTTCTTTTTTACTATAATTAGCTAAACTGGTGTCCACGAGAAAGGATGGCACCCTCCAAGGAGGCACCACACTATATTCTCGTTTGATAATTGAATTTGGATCGATATTGTTAAGCGACATTTCATTCAGCATCCTTAAACCCAATGGTTTTTTTAGATTTGAATTGGAGCAAAATATATTTGCAAAACGATTATGAGTCACGAATGGTAATGTAGAGTTTTCTGGGAGGAAAGGATGCGAGCAATATAATTTAGAGCTAATTTGGTTCTGCGAATATGAAGGGGAGGTTCTCCAGAAATGGATAAAATGCTTGGGATGGGGCTGCTTCTAAATGCTCCGGTTGCAACTCTTAGATCACTGTTATGAATTATGTCAATTGTTTTTTGGAGGTTAGGATTTGAATTGGTATAACAAATTGATCCATAGTCTAATTTAGATCTAACAAGAGATCTATATAGGTTGATTAAGACGGAGCTTTCTGCTCCCCATTCAACATGGCTCAACGTTTTCAGGATATTGATACTTTTGGTTGCGCTTGTTTTGGTCTTAATTATATGAGGTTTCCATGTAAGTTTGTTATCAAAAATCAACCCTAGAATTTTTATGTTGTTCACGAACGGTAAAGGTGTGTTTCCCAAAAATAACTTTGGTTTTGAGATTTGTTTTTTTTTGGTAAACATGATGCATTTGGTTTTTTCTGATGAGAAAATAAAACCTGAGTGGAAGCACCACTTGGGCAGGTCGTTTAGGCAATCTTGAAGACGGCGTGTCATTGATTTAATGTTTTTCCCTTTGAGATTAATATGAGTGTCGTCTGCAAACATAATTGATTTCACAGGATGCGAAATTTCATCAGGTAGGTTGTTAATTGCGGCTTGAAAAAGTAGAATGCTCAGGGGGGATCCTTGTGGGACTCCATTCTCGAGTACAAATTTTTCTGAGAAGTGGTCATTTATTTTAACTTGGAAAGAATGATCATTCAGAAAACTTGTTATAAATTGTAACATCTGCCCATTTATGTGCCATTTTTTCAGTATATTTAAAACTCTATGCCGCCAAACTGTGTCTTAAGCTTTTTGAAGGTCTAGACTGATGAGTATCATGGTTTGTTTGTTTGCGAAAGATTCTAGTATTTCCGTTTCAATTTTAACATGGCAATCTGTAGTTGAGTGAAATTTCCTAAATCCATGCTGGTTTGAGGATTACAGATTAAATCTTTGTACGTACCAATTAAGCCTATTATAAATTATTTTTTCGAGTGTTTTACTCATGTTACATAAGACAGAGATAGGGCGATATCCTGAAGGTTTGTGTCTGTCTTGCTCTTTTTTAGGAATGAGGGTAATGGTAGCATTTTTCCATAAAGTTGGGATAATACCGGACAACCAAACATTATTATACAACTCGAGGAGTAGATTTTTTCCTTTAATGGAGAGGTTCTGGAGAAATAAGAATGGTATTTTGTCTGGTCCACAACTATTACTTTTTTTTCCTTCTAGACTAGAGTTTAGTTCTGACATTGTGACAGGATCGTTGAGAATTGAACCTTGATTTGTTGTTGATGTGGGGATCGGTGAGATAATTAATTCTTGAGTGTCTTTAAATTTCAAAAAGTCTGGATTCAAACTAGAGTTACTACTGTTGGAGTAAAAAAACTGTCCTATTTGGTTGGTTATTTCTTTAGGTTCTGTATAAACTGTTTGCCCTACCGTTAGTGTTTTTATTTGTGTAAAGGGGATTCCTTTTAAAGTTTTAATTTTGTTCCACATTAAAGTTGGGGAAACATGACTATTTAAACTAGATGTAAAATTTTCCCATGACTTTTTTTTTTCACTTTTAATTAGGTATCTGACTTGCGCTTTGTTTTTTTTTTAATTGTACATAATCTTGAAGGTCTAAGGTTCGCTTGTATCTGTTGAAGGCAGTTTTTTTTTTCGTATAGCTTGTTTGACGGTTTTATTCCACCAAGGGACTGGAGATCTCTTGCCAGAGTAGCTAGTTAACTCAAAAACGTCGGAGGCTGTATTTATAATGAGGTTGGTGAACCGTTTTATCTTGTCTTCTATATTATTAGTATTTGTCCAAGATGTTGATTCAATATTTTTATCAATTTCCGTTTGGTATGAGATCCAATCAATATTTTTTAATTTCCATTTTTTTTTTTTCCAGTATAATGATTATGGGAGTTTGTGTGATTGAGCGTCATGATGATAGGAAAATAGTCACTACTTGATAATTCTGGTACGACATCCCAATCTATGTAGGGAGTAATTGTAGATGATGAGAATGAAAGGTCGATGACTGAAAAGTTTCCTGTGCTAGCGCTAACTCTTGTAGCTTGGCCACTGTTAAGTATATTGAGGTCGTTGTTGCTGTAGAGTGTTTGCTCAATTTTAGTTTCTCGTGAGTCAAGGTCGGAGCAGCCCCACAAAGGGCTGTGACTGTTGAAGTCTCCTAAGAGAATGTAAGGAGTGGGGAGTTGATTAATAATATTTTGAATATCAGATGACTCAAAAAAGTGAGAGTTTGGTAGATATATATTGCAGATTGTTATTGGGTTTTTGATTAAAATATTTACTGCGACCCCTTCTAGATTAGTATTAATGGTAATTTCTTCGGAGTGATAATTTGAATTTACATAGATTGCCATCCCACCACTGGCTCTGCCTGCATTTGTTCTATTTTTGTAGTATGTAGTGTAGTTTTTTAGGGAGCCGACCTTGTTGTTGATAAAATTAGTTTCTTGTAGACATATTGAGATTGGACAGTATTTGTATAATAATAAATTGATTTCATCTAATTTGGAGAAGAATCCATTTGGATTATCTTAAGACTGTTATTAACTATCATGATTGGTTTAATATTAGTTTGATGGGTATGTATAGTGGTATATTGGTTGGAATCAAGCTAGTGGGTTTCATCATCATTAATGTCAGCATAGGAAGTCTGACTGAAATTGACGTTTTGGATTTTTTCAAGTGCTTTTAATAATCGGGTTAGACGATTTTTAATACTTTTTATTTTTACGACAGGGTAGATGTTTGTAATGATTTCGATTATATTTTCTGGACTGCTACGATGCTCCGTACATAAACTCACAAGGTCAGTGCAACCTTGCGAATTTTCAAAAAAATCTTTAAACTGGTTTAGAGATAAGGATAATTGAGGATTTGAGTTAATTCATTATTGTTTCTGTGTTTATGTTTAATTTTCTCCTTAACAGTTATTTTTTGTGGCAAAGAGGAAGGAAAAGCACATATAGTCTATTATAAAATAATCAAACTTAAAAACATACACACCGAAAACTTACAATTTTTAATTGATGTATTGATTTATTACTGTTATTGTAGGATACTAATTCAACAGCAACACCGAATGAGCCGTTAAAAGTATGGAAAGCAATAGGATCATAATTCCATCCGTATGTTATTGAATCAAACTCTCGACATACCATACGAACATTGGTCAATTTAAATTCTGCTAAAAATTTAAAATAAAGATTTTACCGCGTAATCAAAATAAACATTCAAATTTTATTTATAAATGCTATTTTATAAACATAATTAGTTTTTGTTAAATTTAAAATAAATGTTGCGAATAGTAATAAAACTATTTTAATATAATTCAATAACTACTAACAACAATATCAAATTTGAATTAATATTATTTTTTTCCAAAATTAAATATACCTTATAAGTTATAAACAATCATTAATATATTTTTGTTTAGTTTTGTTTTATTTTCTTTAATGTTATTTATTGTTTGTCTTTATTATATATTTTTCATTAATTGTTCACGTTTTTTTTATGTTTTAGAATTACAATTTTTTTTCGTAGTTATAACGTTATAAAAAAAGTTTCAAGCCCTGAATCAAGACTATTCATTTAAAAACTTAAAATTATCTTTCTGTTTTGAAAAAAAAATTAGTATGTTACAAAGCTTAATTATTACTTACTGCATATAGTTTTTATCTTGTCAGTTTGATTGACGATATTTATTTCATTCTAAAAAAAACGTATAAACATGTAATTAAATTTTATATTTAACTGATTTTTTTTTAATTGATTGAAAATTTAAATAATGTACTACAGACAAACTTTAGTGGTTAGATAGGCTTCAAATTATCAGTAGTGTAATTAGATATTTTGTGTGGATCCTAATAGCTATTATAACATGAGTAGTAAAGAGATATACACCTCAACTACCCTCTGTTACTATAAATTTATGTCAATTAGGTACGGATTCCCGAATCCAATTGACTTTCCTCCCCGTTAATATGGTATAATGAGGAAAGATGTCCTAAAAATATTTTATAAATACTACTTAGTAACTATAAACTTATAAGATACTCATTTTTTTACAATAGTCTTTATTATTGGTAAATTTTAGTTTGGAAAAATAGCGTTTTGGGAAAAGATTATGAAGTACTTCTCAAAATAAATTACACATAGCAACACATCTGGGCTAGTATAAAAGACTCTCACGGTACACTTTATTACTCACTAGTACTAACACTTGTATGTAGTTTTAGAAGTGGTTAGAAATTCATATTTAGCATGTTTTAATGTAATTTTGGAACATCAAAACTTAAGTATTAGTATGCTAGGGAAAATTGCTCAAATATCTCTCTTAAATAATCTAAAAGTATTATTTAATACCTATTCATTCATTATAAATTTGAATTGAATTCACCACCCCTTTAAGATAAAAGAGACGATTGACAAAATTTTTAGTGTTAGGCGTTATGCAAATTTCAGATTTTAAATCTACTACCAGTGACATGAAAAATCGTAGAAGCTTAACCTCGCTATATTATTCGGCCTAACTCTACACTACTACATATTATTTAACATCATAAAATAATATTAAAATAGTTTTCTGACAGAGATATGCTCTTGGTAGTAACAGAAGTGGATGAAATATACAATAAGACAAGTAACCAAAATTTTTTTAAGAGAATTTAAAATTTTGTCTTCATCAAAAAATTCTATTAGTAAGAGTCTAGAACTCATATACCATTATGATACATGACTACTAAAAGTAATCCAGATATTTTAATATGGAACATTTTTTTGGCTCTGTTAGAGTTTAATGTCATCGCAGACATGTATTATTTATTCCAAGGCTAAAATTTTTTTTAGTTATAACTTTATTAATAAGCAGGGCCGGATTTAGGAATTTGAGACCACAAATACATATCACATTCGGACAAAAAAGCTTAAACATTTTTTTTAACCATGATTTTTTGTAGGTAATTGGACCCTGAGCCTTCTACTATATCTATCCTTGTTAATAAGCCTAGTATATGAAAGTAAAATAAAAAGTATTTATTTATTTATTTCAAGTAAGTCTATAATTTTAGGATATTAATTGAGCTATTACAATGAGTAAAAATTATAATAAATACAAATTAGAGCAACAATAAAACTAAAATTTACCTACTTGTTAATATCTAACATTCAAAGTTAAAAAAAATATTTGGAGGTTCATTGAGGTACTGTAAGCTAAGAACATTTATGTTAAGTAAGTATAGCTAAGGGCTTAGAATGATTTCAAAAATAATTAAACTCCAAGTTTGAAAAATGATTAAAACCTATAACATATTTGTAGTATGTAAATAAATATGTGTCTATGCAGAAGCAGGTCTAATGGAGGGTGCTTCAGTGTCCTTCATAATGTCAAAAATTCAATTAGATAGCTACCCAAACAAAAAAAATCTTAGCATTCTCTATAAGAATATTGTAGATATGGCCCCGTCATTGATTTCGATACTCTTTAGTTTATTTGATTAACATATTATTTTATGATTGTTATATGCTTTCTGCGGAGCGTTTTTTAAACAAATTCTCACTGAACGACAAAAATATTATTTTCACAACATAAAGAGCTAATTATATTATGATAAAAGTATTTTTTTTGATAAATGTGTCCATGTTGGTAAAGAAATGGTCAAAAATACAATTTATTAGGCGGTATTCTAGTTTCTTAATCAACGAGCTTAAATGTTTTCTGTAAATATAATTATTATAATCTTAAAACAACATTAAATTGTTGAGATTTTTGTTCCTTGTAAATTATTGTATTATTATTATTATTATTTTAAATGTTAACTTCAATTACTGCGTCACACATTCAACAACATTTCTTCGAATTTTTATTATTTAAGAGTCAGCCAACGTTATGTAATAGAAACGTGAATTCTAAACATATCTTATTTAAAATTTAAATTCATAAGAAAACAGTTGAACAAAATCATATCAAATCGATTCGAAAAATTGTGATCAGATAACATTAGAGGTCTAAAGAATTCATTCTTCAAATGTAGGCACTCTTTCAAAAATTATACTACCTATAAAACTATAATACTTGAAATGCATTAAGTGCAATTGTCGATATACGAATATATGCAAACAAATCATGACATGCGTTTGCAGTGAAAATGGCGTCAAGGTATAATGTTTTTCTATAGAAGTTGAGGTCAACAAATAGAACTACATTTCAACAATATAAAATTGTTCACATACATTTTTCATGTTCTAAATATAACCATAAAGTATATAATAACCATAACATACTGTTATAGATTACAATAAAGTTAATAAATTTTTTTCAAAATTTTGACAAATTTTCTTAACAATGTTTTCTTAACAGCGTTTTCTTAACAATGATAATATTAAAAATATTGTTAACTGTTGAGATTTAAAACATTTCTTATGGAGATTAGAAAATATTTTTAGATAAAAATTAATTTTAGTTGTTAAATTTTATAATTTATAAAATAAGTGTAATGGATTTAAATGCTACTAGTTAGAAATACTTTACAATTTTGAAAAAGAACCTAGGAAAATGTTTACTTCCATTTTGATAAACCTTTATGGAACTGGTATCAAATGCATATTTTTGAAACTGGGCGTCTCCATGTCAAAACCTACTCTTAAAAAATGTATCGACTATATAATAGTACGCATTTAGAAATTTTTCAGAGAAATATAATTTCAAATAATTTTTATAACTCTTATTACGCTTTAAAAACTTCTAAATATTGAAAAATCATTTAAAATTTGAAGTGTAGTGGTAAAATAAGAAAAATATTTGAAAACCAGTAACATCTTTGTATTTTGATACACAGTTCAAGTCTTTTTTTATTATAAAGTGTCCCATGACGAAGTTCTGGCAATTCTTATATTTTTATTCCAAAAAAAGTATTACCTCATTAAACTAAGTTTGAAACATATATTATTATTATTGATAAATAATAAAAATATTCCTTAAACATAGTCAATGAATGCAATAATTATTTCTTATAAAATTATAATTGGATTAAAAGTTACAATGATGTCAGAACAATATAAAACACTTAAAAATTTGTATGAAATTTATTATTTTTTCATTAAAAGACATTTTTAGTTTAGGGATCTTAAAAACAACTGAATGATTAATAATTGTAATTTATCACCCTTAATGATGTAATTTTATTAAAATTGTTAATATTTAAGATTTTTAAATACCTTAAAAATAAAATTAAAATTTCAAAAATCTAATTAGGAGCAACTTCAAAACTAAAGGGAAAGTCAGACATTTTATCTATTTAAGGGATTTATAATATATAATACAACTAATAATTCACAAAACATACAATATTTATATATTTTTTTCATAATGTATTCATTCGGCTACCCTCGTTTTAGTAAATTGGCCATCACTGAAAATTGTATTTATATTATATCATATTTAAGTTTATTTAAGACTTAATTTGTTTCCTATCATATCTCAATTATCATTAATTTGAAATGTTATTACTTTGTTTTAACTAAAAATATTATCAAAATAAATCTATCATAATCTTGATCAAATTCATCGTTTAACGCGCTACAAAATTGTCATACTGCACGTTAATAAGTTAGTTAAGTTTTAAACATGATTAAAAAATTAACATTTTCAAAATTTACCTTTTTTTGCTTTTATAAGACATTTTAAACACCTTAAAAAAACATATTTTAAAAACACTGCTCCATAGTAAAAAACCATAACCCCGAAAAAGGCATTGTAAATAAAACACATTTTTTTAACCAGAAAATACAACCGTATAAATTATTCAGGTGCAAAGACTTGTAATTTATTTTTTAAAAGATTAGAAATAAAATGGTTTTCAAAATAAGAGAAGCATTTGACACAAAAAAAATCTTACAATTACATGCTCTTCTCCGTTGATCCAATTAAATGTAAAATTTAAAATTATACAATAATGTCATGTTAAAAAATAAAAAATGTATTGAAAATTTTACACATTGCTGTAAGTAGTAAAAAATGACTCCCAACTTTAAATAGCTACTATAGGTTATAATTAAAAGTTTAATTTAATTTATATTAATTATACAAACTTTTGATATGTTAGTGATATCTTCGATATTTGCTTCTTGTTCTATGAGAAATCTTTTACATGCTTCTTCATATTTCCAAAATTGCTCTGCATTACTTATTGAAGTAATGAGAACTATAGTAGCAACAGCAACGCGGTAACTTATGTGCAGATACATCAAAGAATACATACCGAATGAAAAAAATCTGATATAGACCAACATGCGAAGCCGATCTCTTATATTATGTAAATGTATATGTAGCATAATACTATTAACTTATGATAATAACTATAAAGAAAATGATACAATTTATCTAAATTGTTAGGATATTTATTATTACAATAATAGTTACTATTTACTGATTTCAATCGTTGGAATTTTTTTCTTTTTTTTAATATTATAACCAGGGTGGTTACGATTTAAACGTGTTAAAAACATCAACATGTTCAATAATTACTTAAAAAAACCCTGCACATATAAAATAAAATAAACTTTAATTTGCAAGAATTACGTCAAGAACTATGCAAAAAAAAATGTAAAATCACCCATAATTGTCGAAAATTGTATAATTAGTGGTTTTAATACCTAATAACTCTTAGAAATCGCTTAATTTTCTAATAGTTTTTCTTTATTATGAAAAATAAAAACTAATTAAAATTAAGGTGCTTTTAAAGGTCATGGTATTAACTTTAATTTAATGGAGGTTTAAAAAAGTTAAGTCTTTTGAAACATAATCAAAAATTAAAAAAAAAAAAAAATGGTGGCTTTGCATCTACCGCTTTATGAGCTTTTCACAATTTTAGCACTCCCTTGATTTTTACTTTAGTTGTACTTCTGCTTTGATTTATAAAAAATGTATGACAACGCATATGTTTGAAGTATTATAAATAAAATGTTTGCAATAATCCGGTCATTTTTCAAAAAGTGATATAAATATAAAGTGAAATCTAAAAATTATCAATATAAACTGTTTCATAAAAACAATATTTTTTGGGGGATAGAGGACTATAACACTACTGAGTTATTAACTAAAAAATTGTCTAACTTTGTCTCATTAAGTTTATATTAGTTGTTTTTGTAACAAAGAAAATATCTAAATTGTTGCTATAATATAATTTCAACTGTTCATTAGTGCAAAATTTAGATTTAAATATTAGCTTCGATGCGAAGCGGAGAAGGTATTAATTTTACTATGATGTGTTTTTTTTTTTTTTATGTCTGTTGCCACTTTTTCTCAGCTCTCACTGGACCGATTTCTTTCAAAATTACATCAAAAGATCACAAATCGTATCTAGTAATATACTTTATAATGGTAAAAAAAAATTTCGGACTTTATTTTATCTTCATGGTGAAAACAGACATTAAACTTAATAAAAAAATACGATTTTTGTAAAAAAATTTTTTTTATATTTTTAACTTAATAATGCTATAACTTTTTGAAAGACGTATGGATCAATATAATTCTTTTTTTTTGTAGATGCATGATGTCTTTACCTATCATATGTTATATTTTTTTTATAAATCTGACTTTTTACCTGCCCACAGGGGGGGATTTAAAATGACAACTTTTTTACAAAAAATTAATTTTTTCAACTTAACTTTTGAAAGTGTTCCGGAAGGTCTGACACTTTTATATGTATCTTAAATTAAAGCTAATGTAATATACTTTATCATGAAAAAAAAAAATTTCGGACTTTATTTTATCTTCACGGTGAAAATGGCTACCGAATGCTATTATTGTGTGAAAATTCTCAATTTTATAATTTACAGTTTTAACTTTATAATGCTATAACTTATTGAAAAGTGTATGGATCAATATTATTTTTTTATGAGAAATAATATTTTTTAATAATCCCTTTTTCATTCGACATACTTTATCTTCATTAGGATATTAATAATGAACTAGCAGATCATATAGCTTTTGAAATAATCCACCAATTTTTTAAAATTAAACACTATCTAAAGATTTCCATCGAAGCGTTTTTTTTTATAGTGATTTTAATCACTGTCAGATATCATACTTGATCCATCTATGCCACGTCACCACTGTGCCGCGACCTCACTGTGCTGGGTTTTTTTTAATAGCTAATATGATTTACACAATATTTATATAGTTCGACAACAAAATATTACAACTTAAAATATATATATTTTTACGTTCAACATAACTTTTTCAAAAATTAGTAAAAAGCAAAATTCAGAATAAAAAAAACCCAGCACAGGGGGGTCGCGGCACAGTGGTGACGTGGCATAGTTGGATCAAGTAAAATGATATCTGACAGTGATTAAAATCACTATAAAAAAAAAAACGCTTCGATGCAAATCTTTAGATAGTGTTTAATTTTAAAAAATTGGTGGATTATTTCAAAAGCTTCATAAACTGCTAGTTCCTTATTAATATCCTGATTAAGATAAAGTATGTCGAATGAAAAAGGGATTATTAAAAAATAGTATTTCCCATAAAAAAATTATATTGATCAATACACTTTTCAATAAGTTATAGCATTATAAAGTTAAAAATGTAAAAAATAAAATTGAGAATTTTCACACAATAATAGCATTTGGTAGCCATTTTCACCGTGAAGATAAAATAAAGTCCGAAATTTTTTTTTTCCATGATAAAGTATATTACATTAGCTTTAATTTAAGATATATATAAAAGTGTCAGACTTTCCGGAACACTTTCAAAATTTAAGTTGAAAAAGTAAATTTTTTGTGAAAAAGTTGTCATTTTAACTCCCCCCCTGTAGGGAGGTAAAAAGTCAGATTTATAAAAAAAATATACCATATGATAGGTAAAGACATCATGCGTCTATAAAAAAAAGAATTATATTGATCCATACATCTTTCAAAAAGTTATAGCATTATAAAGTTAAAAATATAAAAAAGAATTTTTTTACAAAAATCGAATTTTTTTTTATTAAGTTTAACGTCTGTTTTCACCATGAAGATAAAATAAAGTCCGAAATTTTCTTTTTTTATGATAAAGTATATTACATTAGCTTTAATTTAAGATATATATAAAAGTGTCAGACCTTCCGGAACATTTTCAAAAATCAAGTTGAAAAAATTAATTTTTTGCGAAAAAGTTGTCATTTTAAATCCCCCCCCTGTGGGCAAGTAAAGAGTCACATATAAAAAAAAAATATATTGATATGTTCATTTTTTAAAAAGTTATGGCACTTTAAAGTAAAAAAAATTGAAAAAATTTCGAAAATTAGCGATTTTTAAATTTGTAATTTTTTTGGAGGTTTCCCCCATTTACGGGGAACGAGGAAATTTTTTTCAATTTTTGAGGGTAATGTCTTCGACTAGATACGATTTGTGATCTTTTGACGAATCATTGAAAGAAATCGGTTCGGTGAGAGCTGAGAAAAAGTGATAAAACACAAAAAAAAAAAAACACATCTTAGTAAAACCAATACCTTCTCAGCTTCGCATCAAAGCTAAAATACTGTTTATTTTTAAGACAATGTAATAGTAGATAAAACAAATATTTACTTGAGTAGACAGTGGCGATTTGGAATAGTCATATTTAAATAGATGTGCTTAACAATTAATCGTACAAACGTTTTATGTAATACAGTTATTAACTAGCTTAATAATTATATTCGTTTTAAGCAGTTTTTTTTAAACTGTATTAGGTTCTTTAGTTTTCAGCTATCTATACAGGTATGGTTAATTTAAACAATAGTAGATATGTCAGAAAACTTTTAATTATAAGTCTTCCGACTTATATCTATAAAAAAATTATGAATTCTTAAAAATTGTAAGTAGTTGAACATAAAAAATATAAATATAAATAGTAAATAGTATTTGAACATAAAAATTGAAATGTGTATGTGCATTATTATTATTTTAATATTAATATTATCTTTTGCAGTAAAACTGTAAGTCGTCAACATTTTATGATTTTAAAAAATAATGTATTTAGAATTTCAGTGATATTAAGAATAGCAGAGCAACTTTGCTAATGTGTGTCACACTTTTTAGTTTTCTCAATTTATTCAACGATTTTCATTCTTTATATAAATCTAATTAATAATGAACTGATGCTTTTTACTAGAATTTTTTTTAGACCAAAATATTCATATTTCTTTTATGATTAATATAGTACTACTACAAATTTTTACAATAATAATAATAAATAAAACTTGTACTTAATACTTGACCATTTTTTGGCATATCAACACTAACAATTAAGTTTTAGTAAATACCAATTAGAAACTGTAATTAAAATTTATAATTATCTCAACTCTAAATATGATAGAAAAAATCTGAAGCCAGATACAATTGTTCAATTTGTTAATAAAAATGAAAAAAATTATTTTCCTTAGAGGGTTGGACCCATTATATAAAATAATAATAATAAATGAGATAACATTATTGAGTAAAATAATGATTTACAGTAAAAAAAAATCTACTATCTAAATATAATTTAGGTATCAAATAAATATTTTAATTTATAACTGTCAGTATTTATGGCAGTATCTATATAAATTATACAAATATAATTCAGATATTTGAATTTTAGTCTTTTATACAGTCTATTATAATGTATTAAAATTAGTCAATATAATATTATTATTTATCAGTCAATCTTAATTATCTAATTTTACTTACAGTCTACTTCATTAAGTTTGTATAAAAGAATAATTGTAATAAAGACTAAATTTAAAACTTTTTTTTATAACTCAGCTTTATACCTATTTTTCTGTATTTTAATAAAATAGTTTCTTTTTCATTTATTGGACACCTATTTTTACGTGCATATTCTAAACAGTCTTTGTGTTTTTTTTGAGTAGCTACTTCAACAACTTCATGATTCCATGGACACCCATTTTCATATGCATACTTTAAACAGTGTACATGACCGTTTTCAGCAGCTGCAGCAGTAGTACGTTCATCCCATGGACACCCATTTTTATGTGCATATATTAAACATTCCAATTGTCCATATAAGGCAGCCATAATGGTCACACAGTCTAATCGGTCATGAAAATCTGAAACAGTATTATGAAGAGCATATATCAAACAGTCTATATGTCCCATAGCGGCTGCTGAATCAGAAGTAAATGACCTCATTGTACACCCATTTTCATATGCATACTTTAAACAGTGTATATGTCCGTTTTCAGCAGCAATTTCAGTAGTTCGACGATCCCATTTACAACCATTTTCATGTGCATACTTTAAACAGTCTAAATGACCATTTGAAGATGCTAGAAATGTGACTAATGGTATATCAGGGTAAACATCTGTTATATAATAAATATCTAATATATCAGATCCTGAGGAATCAGTGTACCAATCGCATCCATTTATATGTGCATACTTTAAACAATCTAAATGTCCATTTTCAGCTGCTCTTGCCATTGTAAGACCACCCCAAATACAACCATTTCCATGAGCATAGCTTAAACATTCTAAATGTCCATTTCTAGATGCTTCTGTAGTAGTATTGTCATCCCATGGACAGCCATTTTCCCTGGCATACTTTAAACACTCTATATTACCAGTTTTAGCAGCCGCTGCAGTAGTTCCATTACCCCAAGGGCAAAAATTTTTATGTGCATACTTTAAACAGTCTAAATGTCCGTTTTCAGCAGCAATACAAGTCGCAGTAGTCTTTCCATAGTGTTCATGCTCAATTTCTAACCATTTAGAAGAAGATTGAAAAAAACTTAAGATTTTCTCTTTAGTAGTCATAGTCGTAATTAGTTGTATATGTTCTAATACATTTTCGCAACAACGTTCCAAATTTATTGGAGGTTGTTCTTTTAAACTATCATACATTTTATTATAGTTATCATTAAACATATAGCGTAAAACTTTTTTTAAAGAAAACATATTAAAAGAAAAATACTTAAATATTGCGTACTTAGTTAGGTTGTCAAAACCACCAATGTTTTATATAGTGATAGCAGTGAATTTAATAACTCTAAGGATTGTACTGATAAGATTAAAAATATTGTATTTCGTCTTGCCGGGACAAAGCATCATATCTCGAAAAATATCAAAAACGCCTTTTTTATTTAAACATTTAAAGAAAAGTAAACGATTTAAGTAATATAAATACTACTCAAATAAACTATGATAAAACGGATCAGTTTTATGTGGTGAAATTCAGTCAACGAGACAAATGATTGAAAATCGCGCAACGGTTGCAAACGTATAATAATAAAATATACCATCCTATTATAATACTATTAAAACTGTAATTTTAAATTATAGCTTAATTGATGAATGTTATGTATCATCTTATATCTAAATATATGATAAAATATTTTAAGATTTGTTATAAAAAATATATATTGTTATTGTTTAATTTGAAGTCTCTAGAACTCATAATTAATTATAAAAACTTATAATTCCTTGTAATTATTGTCCTTAATGATCATCTTTTAACAATTAAAACTATTGTTAACTTACTTAAAAAGTATAAATAAATCTTTATATGAAAGAAAAACAAATGAAAAAATGTGTGCACTTATTAGTTTGCTTGTAATAAAATAACTATCATTTTAAAAATCTCCACAATTTCAAAAATGACCTGTTGAGAAAACACTAAATTTTGGGATAGCCTAAAACACGGATCGTCCGGTCCGTCGTGGACCGGACGGTAAGGGGCCGCAGTTATACTGTATAATTACTAATGATGTATATACTATTGCCCAC